CAACCAAGAGAGTCCAGGATGGTATCCACATGAATGACATTTTGGTCGAGAACATGTTTTGCATGAACAGCATCTCATCTTTAATAGCAAAGTTATTAAATAGCATCATTATAATATACTAATAAAAGGATATTTACAGGTGTATTAACTTTGAAAAGCATACGGTATCGGTGTTTATTGCATAGTTTCATATAGCATTGTCAATAATAACTTTTGAAACGTACCTTTTCTTCACACTGAACTGCACTGGTCGCAGTTATACTTCAGCCTTTCACACAGCTTCAGTTAGAATTTTTGGTTGAGCTCATAAATGAGTTTCTGAGCATGGAGTAAATGCATTGGGAGTTATATATCCACTCTCTTTCAATTTTGGCTATTGACCATTGGCAAGTTTCTTTTCCGGAATATTTTATAATATTTGGTGTACATCTTTATTTAATTCCAGCCGACCTACAATCCATCCTAGAGTTGATATAGTCTGGTGTATTAATATTTTTTAGCAGTGCTACTCAAGTGCTTTACAATAAATGCCTGGCCCTTTACTGTTTGGATTTGAACTAACCATTGTACTCAATAAACAGTTTTTTTCATATGTCATGATTACCATTAAGCACAGGCCCAATTTTGAAAAAACGTGCACAATAAATTTTTTTGTGTGTATGATTATTTTATAATAATTATTCAATATTTGCCTTGTAATTTAAGTTCTAAAATTTATTTTTAATTTTTTTAAATTCGTTTCCAAATATAATTTTTGATTATTTGAATTTATTTTAGCTTATATAAATTTTGTCGTTCATTTATTTAGCATAAAATTTTAAATTACCACCAAACAAATAAAGTCTTTTTCAAGTACAAAGTGTTGAATTTATATTAATACTAATTAATGCTCTCTTGAGCCACACAATCTCCAACATTGGAAGTTGTTACCTGTATTTATTGCTTGCAGCTTTCAAGTACAATGTTTTGGCAGGTTTGGTTCTTAATTCTGCTAAATACTCTTTATAATCTTTTACATCAGTTAAATTAATCATTTATTTCTAAATGTCACTTTTGTTAGCAAACACTAAACAATATCAATAAATTTAAAAATAACTTTGAAACTATTAATTTACATTCTTAGTTTGATCAACATGTTTGAGTAGTTATTAATGTAATGGTTTCAAATCTGTACCCATGATAAATTAAGTGTTACTAATATCTGGTTTTTACAAAATTAGAAACTCAATTTTTATGAAATATTCGGAATATATATTTCTTTTTAAAATACATGGGGGTCTATCTGCCATGTTGGTAGTAATTTAAAGTAATTATTTTCTTATTATTCCTAAATCATAAGTAAATTCGAAGTGGGATATGTATTTATTATTTTTAATTTAGTTTCTTTATCAATTCGAATTCAATTGTTTTAAATAATATTTAAATATAATTTTCGAGTATTCCCCCCTTTTTTCCGTTTTTATATATTTTGTACTTTATTTATTTCGGACAAATTTTTAAATTAGCACCAAACAAATAAATTCTTTTTCAAGTACAAAATGTTAAATATATATTACTACTCATTAATGCTCTCTTGAGCCACACAATCTCCAACATTGGAAGTTGTTACTTATATTAATTGTCCGCAGCTTTCAAGTACGAAGTTATCTTGGGCAGGTTTGGTTCTTAATTCTGCTAAAAACTCTTTATAATCTTTTACATCAGTTAAATTAATCATTTATTTCTAAATGTCACTTTTGTTAGCAAACACTAAACAATATCAATAAATTTAAAAATAACTTTGATACTATTAAATTACATTCTTACTCTGATCAACATGTTTGAGTAGTTATTAATGTAATGGTTTGAAATCTGTACCCATGATAAATTAAGTGTTAGTAATATCTGGTTTTTACAAAATTAGATTCTTCTTTTTATGAAATATTCGGAATATGTATTTCTTTTTAAAATACATGGGGGTCCATCTGCCATGAGGGTAGTAATTTAAAATATTCGGAATATGTATTTCTTTATCAATTCGAATTCAATTGTTTTAAATAATATAAAAATATAATTTTCGAGTATTTCCCCCTTTTTTTCCGTTTTTATATATTTTGTACTTTATTTATTTCGGACAAATTTTTAAATTAGCACCAAACAAATAAATTCTCTTTCAAGTAAAAAATGTTAAATATATATTACTACTCATTAATGCTCTCTTGAGCCACACAATCTCCAACATTGGAAGTAGTTACCTGCATTAATTGTCCGCAGCTTTCAAGTACAAAGTTATCTTGGGCAGGTTTGGTTCTTGATTCTGCTAACTACTCTTTATACACTTTTTCATCAAATAAATTAATTATTATTCTAAATGTTAACTTGTTTGCAAACATTAAACAATATATCAATAAAGTTATTAATATTATGGTTTCAAATCTGTACACCTAATAAATTAAGTGTTACTAATATCTAGTTTTTTACTAAATTAGATTTTTCTTTATATTAAAAATATGGAATTTGTTTTTCCTTTTAAATAAGAAAGTCAATCTGCCATGCGGGTAGCAATTTATATATGTGGAATCTGTACCCCTGAAAAATTAAGTGTTAATAATATCTGGTTTTTACAAAATAAGATTATTCTATATGTGAAATATTTGAAGTTTTTTCCTTTTTTAAATAAGAAATTCCATCTGCCATTGTGTAGTAATTTTATATTTTTTAGTATTACTTAATTTCTAGTCAATTCGATTCTTGTTATGTATTTATTAAACTTAATTTGGTTTATTTATGTAAAGGGGTAAGGCCTTTGGAAAACTCAGGTATTTGAAACCCAAAATACTTGGGCTACCTAATTATATGGTCAAAATACACATGCCCAAAATACCAAGTAGAACCATGTCCTTCTCAAATCTTTTCATCCTTACTAAATAAATGTTTCCATAAAAAAACAATTATAACTTTGTACGCCTATGAATTGTTTTTTAAATTTCTATTATATTCAAGTCTTTCACATGTGTACAGATGCTTCTTTGTGTTGGACACGGTTGTATTTTTGAAGGATTGTTAAAATACCTTCAATAACATTTTGGGCAGATATTATTTTTTGAACATTTTTTTTCCAAAAAATAATGGAGTTAAATCCTGAGTGCATGGCGTGATAATAATGACTCTTTGCAACAGGTCATTAAGTTTGATATCGTTTGAAAAAATTATTTTCTAACAGTCATTTTTTAAACTGTCATTATATATACTCCTTGTAATAGGGATAGTTCTAGGACGCTAATACTCCATACGTATTACTATGGTGTTAAGAAATTATTATTTTTTAAACATTTTTTCCAAAAAAGAATGGTCTGTTCAAGCAAGATATTGTTCTGTTTCAAAAAAAAATTGTTTCAAGTTTGATGTTGTAACATTAAGTTCTTTATGATCTCAATATTATTTTCTAGCGGTAATTTTTTAGCTTATTTGTACTTTTTGGTTCCAAATTAGATTTTTCTATACACGAAATAGTTGGAATTTGCTTCTCAATTATAAGAAAGACTATCTGTCCTAATGTAGTAATTAAAAATGTTTTTGTTCAATTACTCAATTTTTCAAGTTTGATAAGGTCACATTATCTACTTATTATCACAATTTTATTTTCTAGCAGTAATTTTTGTAACTTATTTGTACTTCTATTTGAAAGTAGTCGGTGTACTTCATAGTAATAACTGTTTTTAATCCGCTCTGACAGGTGTAATTTTCTGGTGGAAGAAGTTTAACGATTCTGTTTAGAAAATTGTAATAGGAATAGTTCTGGAACATTAGAAGGTTGTCAATTATGTAAAATTTGAAATGTTTGTAATATTATTTAGTAAATAGGTATTGCAGGTAACTCTCCATGAAGCCAAACTCTAAGGTATGAACTTCTTTCTCTATTCCACTTGGTTATATAAATTGATGCATGTTGTTGATAACAATCACAATTGCCAAATTGCATGATTTGCAGCCATAAAATAACATAGAAAGTTTTTATTAGATTTTCAAATTAAAATCTAATACGCTTGTATTAGATTTTCAAATTAAAATAGTACACTTTTGAAGTCTCGACAGTACACATTTTCCTTTGTACAATATATACACTTGATGCTTTCAACACTTCATTGCTTAAAAGATGAATCCATTCCTTTCAAACTGTGTCCTTGTCTTTAAGTAAAGCCCTTCTCTGAAACCTTCTAGTAGCATTTTCCTTGATCCGTCTTCATACAATATATTAGTGAATTAGTGTTGAAACGATGTTTTATTTTTAAAAAAAATCAAAGATATTAGTACGATAAACATCCCTATATGCAGCCGTAATCTCCCTTCTCTAAATTCCTGCAAATCTGCTCAATAGCAATCACGATCTTCCAACACATAGTTTATACAAAATAGCACACCACACAATAGTCATAATATAGGGTTTAATAGTCTGTTACACAGTTTTCAGTTATCACAAAAAGTAAAGGCATACATACTGCCTTTAAAACTGTTTTCATCATATAATATTAATAAATGCCACAGTGCGTGACAACAAAATATCGTGCAATGTTATCCCCGGTATAAACCCGGATTAGAGCGGTTCCTGCTTAATTTTGATCTTCAGCTTCTTGCCATTCCCACTGCTTGAAAATTCATCATTCAAGTTTCTCTTGATCTCATCATTCACTTCAACATTGACCTCCCTTTGGGTAGAAGCTGTAGGTGTGTCTGGCAGCTCAATTGGTTCAGAAACCTAGTATAAATTGTTGTTTAGTGATCCATTTTCAGAATTCTTAGTAAAAATATCATGGACGTGATAGCTGTGCAACGTTTACCTCTTTCTCTGCTGAGATTCGTTTCCCCTTTCCCTTTGTGACAGTTGATTTCTCTCTATTGGAGTTTTCTCCCAAATTTGGATTTGAACCAACCTGCAATAAAAATATTTACATTTACTTGTCATATATATTTAAATTCGGTCTGTCCACACACAAATTATTATTTTATAAATACCTTTTCTGGTGTACACTCATCACTTTCATTAGTCTCCATGTTCACCTTCTGCTCATACAATGCAAGAACATTCGGATCTCGTATGATGCTAACCACCCCTAGGGAAATTCCATCGTTGTAGGCATTTTCCTCAGCTTTCTTCTTCCTTAGCTGTATTTTGAAAATTCCTCGTTGTTCGACCAAGCTTTCGATGTCTTCAGGAAAGTGACTTGCATCCCCAGTTTTCTGTGTTTTTCAAGTTATGTCATATTACATGAAATGGATCATAGGTCTGATAGAGTAAATGCATTATAACAAATTATTGTTATACCTTCTCAACCTCTGCTTTAAGGCTTGCAGCAGTTTTACCCAGTATTTCTATACATTCCCTGTCCCATATGATGAAGTTTCCATGCCCAGTGTTGTCCATAATACACACACTTACTTTGTAGCTGATACAGAGCGAACAATTTTTTAATTAAAATATAAACTTTTCATGCTACCATCATCACAACACATTAGGTTAAGTAATCAACCGGTAAACTCCTTCCGCCAGAGTCATGCTGCAAGTAATACACCTAAACCTTTCTTCTTCTGGCTTCAATTTTTTGTGGCATGTTGGGCAACTAAGGTAGCACCATTCTCGAAAGTTTTCTATGGAAACAATCTCCGCAATTACCCAGTAAACATTTTCCTGCCCATGGGTATATTTTTTTGTTAGCAGTGCGCATTTTACCAATAAAATTGCCCCAGTCGGAACTAAAAAATTTAGGACTCACCTCTGTCGCCTTCATCAAGTCTTCCACGGTGGTAATGACAACATTTCCTCCAAGGATATCATCCCTCCCTTCCATCTGTGAACACTGTGTTATGCAGGTTTGAGTCAAGGTCTCATCACCGTCTGCAGGAAACCTGTGTGTATTGTATGTTAGTGAGACTTTAGTTCTAAAAGATTTGTTATGGATTTCAAAATTAAAATTTTACATACTCGCTTTGGAACTCGATGAACTCAGTAGTGTTGCCATTAATGATTAGCTTTGACACATCAAAGGATGAATTCACAGTCAAGACCCCTGTGTTAAATTAATAGTAAGTTAAGTTCTTGCTACTTAATTTTGAAAAGTGAATGATGTTAAGTTTTTTGAAACCTTGATATCTTTTTGGTCTACATAGCTGAAAAACCACAAACACAGGCACTCCTTCATTAGCATTCACGTAGTCCAGATATTGATTAATATACTTGTTCCACAACACAGCGCCCAACCTGTTACCCCTGTGGATTAGAAAAGTTTCAGTCAATAAGCAAATGTCTTTCTTCTCGGCCAAAAACCATTTATGTTTTCAAAAACTTACTCTGGGTCTGTCAAAGTCAGCTCCATTAGCCTATCAGTCCTCCCGTTGATTATATGTGTCTGAATAGGGCTCTTAGACAGGACCTTCCCAATAACATCTACATTTTAAACCATTTGAAACTGTAAGTAGGGTTTTTGTGTAACGTTCGGAATGCAATAAGTTTGTAACTCACCAATCAGAGTTTTGTCATTGACAACCCTCTGGGCGTGCAACATGTCAAAAGGCTGAAAATCATAGACCATCATCGGCAGTTCTGTCCTTGTATCTTCCCTAAACTGAGTTCTTGAGATGAACTGAATAATGTAAGGGTGACTTGTAGTCTTCACTGTTTGGTAATTGTCAAGCACCAAAAAGTTTCTTATGGCATAAACTTTGTTCTCCATTATCATCGACTTGTACAGCGCTATCTGCGGCCTCTTGATGATGGCATGGATCCGATCACCCTAGGAAGGCATTAATAGACATATAAAAACATTCAGCAGTTTTTACAACAATATAGGAGTTAGATCTTCTAAACAATACCTCTGTATCATGCAAAACCATTTCCAGACTCTCCCCTCCTTTGGAGTGTGGTGGAACCTCATATGCCCTAACTACCCGAGCCCTGATTGCCCAGGTGGTCTTTGTGTGATCGATGTCCTTGATCAAGGACCACATTCCTAGTTGAGATGAACCTGTTGTTGCCATTGCTCTGATTTTTTTCTTTTTGAATGAATGCTAAATGCTGGTTTGCAGTGTGTTGTGGCTATCCCATGCTTGGATATTTATATTGGTTGGAGTGTGCAATAACCGTAGGGTAGAAATCCAACTCAATATTAGCATTAAGATTTTTCAGTACATAAATAATATTCTTTAAGCAAGGTACTACACTGCATTTAATGGTTGAGAGGCTCAAGAATTACTTTTAGATTTGAAGTACACTTTGCTTTATTATTTTAATCATCACAGCAGATCTTTGTTTCTTTTATTGCGAGAGATACGAAATCTCCATGCCTCCAGTTCAAAGAATTTAATGTTTGTGTGGCTCAAGGCCTGCAAAAGGATTTTGTAATCTGCTTTATAAAAAAAAGTACACCTACGAATTAAATGCTCCCTTTTATTTAACACCCCATGCATTTTCAGCCACTCAATTCCAGCCTGGTGACTGACCAGCATTAAAGAGCAGGAGTAAGCTGGCCCAGGACCCGTGTCCACACCCACAATAACCCGACCCGACCCAATATTGGACTGCATTTAGGCGGGAACACTGTTCCTTTTTTTCTTTCATCTTTGTATAATAGAAGATAGTCAAGGGATCAAAAATGACAAAAACTCTTTCTCTATTTCTTAAATTTATATCTGACAAATTTTAAGTGGACCACTCATAATAATATTCTAATTGAATAAATTACACATAAACAAATGATTAAATATTGATTTGGACTCGGCCATGAAATTAATGGTAAGAACAATACCTTCGTTTTTTGTTACTGTGGCACTCGCCATTTACGTACTCTAATTTGATTTGTTGAGATTTTTAATTTAATCCCATAGCTTATGCACATTCCCATTTTTAGTATTATAAAATTTACAGACTTATACTACATTTAATCTTGTAGCTAATAATCTTGTGCTCTACATTCGGGATTTTTTCACTGGAATGTACTATTTATTTTATTGAAAAGTTGACGCCAGTGATGTATATCTTCTAGTCTGATTTTTACAGGATTTTTGTAGATTGTCATATAATCTTTGAATAAAAATCATATATGATCCTTAAACTATGACACCCAGGTCACTTTAGTCCAAAAATGGATAAATCTATCATTTTATTTGTTGATATTTATTGTTTAAGTCCTACTCTTAATTATTTAGTGAAACATAGATTGCCATGTAAGAGTCATATATATGTACATGCAGCTATTTACCTCCAACTATTTGAGATGAAAATCTTTATGTGATATAGTTATTAGCTTCAATTAATTAATTGGGAGTGCTCGGGGCAAAGCTTTAATTTATAATGGTGGATGAGTGTGTCAATTGAATACTTTTCATTTAAAACTTCAATATGTGAAATAAAAGTTTTGCAGTTTTTTCAATTTATTCTTCTAATTTATTGCTATACTATTTTTTTTAGTTTTGAAACCCGTTTAGAAGATATACTTAAAAATGTATTATTTATTTTGAAAGCCTTTTAAGTTTTTAGATAATTCTTACATTTGTTTGTTTACCCCTCTTCACCCTCTCTTTATTCACATTGGTGCTAGACATTTTAAAGCTAATATAATTTAATTTGTTGAAAAAAAATGGAGTCTAAGTAGGATTTGAATGTAGATTATTACCATATGCATGTGTAGTACGTCACTTCAATGTAATGCTTCTTGTGGTATGATATTTCTAATAAATTACAACATGTTATCAAGTTAAGTCAGACATCTATTAGAGAAGTTTATTGAAATCATGAAATTTATTATACAACTTTATAATTCTTCTCTGAATTTTGTATTTCGTTTGTTATTTCTAACTTCTAGGTTTACTTCACAAAAAGTTGTTTATCTCAACTTCAAGTAGCACACGTTGTAAAAAAATTTCAAATTAATCGGAGCAATTAAATGGTGCGAGTTTCACCAATCATATGCAGATTATTCCTTTTGTACTATCCAACATGGCAGTCATATACTTTGTGTTCTTGTTTATGTTGACTATCTGCTTATCAATGGAAATAATCATGATATGATTATTTTCATTATCATTCTTGTCTACATTTTTCAATATCAAAGAGATGGGTAAGATATAATGAAATATTTTCTCAGGATTGAAATTGCGCGCAACTCAGATGGTAAATTTCTATGTCTGCGAAAATATTTTTTGGACATAGTAGCAGAGATGGATATTGGTCCTTATTTTCATGAACGAGATCGGTATCATAGGTTGATTGGAAAGCTCATCTATCCCCATACGTACATTCACATCGATATATCCATACATAGATGCTCCTCCGTATGAAAAATGGAATTTAACAAATGAATTCATCAACCATAAATTCATAAGTTGATGAAACTATTATCATCGAATTATATATGCTTGATGCAACCTTCGTTGTAATCGGGCAAAATTAGATTTACAAATTTGTGAATTAAAATTGATAAGAACAATGTAGATAGATGTTGTAACTCGAAATCCAACCACAATTAATCAGAAGGGATATGTTGATCATGATTCATGACACACACATATGATGGGGCATTCGCAAATCGGTGACCTCAAGGATGGAGGGGGGATATAAGACTCTGAGATCCCATTCTTGGTTGGAGAAAGTACTTGGTTGCAGCAATGATGAGTGGCAAATGGTATCAAGATGGGACAGTGCGAAACAAATGGATCAAGACCTTGATGCTTTCTTCCTCTGTTTTCATCTGCAGTAGCCTTTGCAATAGGTTTGTGGCTAAGGGCAACTTAGGTATTAGAATTATTTTTAATTAATTTAACGGATGCAAATAATAATTATATTTAATTTAATGATTGTGAATAGCAAGTTGGGAATTGTGAATGGAATTACCCTTTGAGAATTCTTGTACTTTCCTTTTTTGTCTCATAGTATAGACTTTCTTTTTTCGTGCCATAGTATATAGTTTATGTTCTATACTTCTATTTACTCATTTTCTTTCAAATCGTGCACTAATATCTTTACATGGATTTAATACTTTAATCTGTCAGGCATGGATTACGGGGTCATGGAGGGCAATCGCTCCCTTGGACATTCCAAATTTTCTATTATATATGGAGTATGTAATATTTCCAAAAAAAATATTTACGTACTCCTAATCTGTCTCATATATTTCTTCCTGGTTTGACTTGGATTGAAGTTTAAGAAATCGAGAATAAAACGGAAATGTATGATTATGGTCGAGTAAGAAAAATGTAAATAAATGCGTCTCATACAAAACTTTTTAAAAAAGAAAATGAGAAGAATTTTTGTGCTATACCAAAATTGTAAGTGGGGGAGGGGATTTTATGGGATAGAGGGAGTACTTTATTTAGATATATATGTATCCCCCCCCTCCGTGTTGGTTTTCAAAATTACTACATCCGTCCCCCTAAGTTTGAGACAAGAGAGGGTGACACGATTATTAATAAAAATGGGTTTATATGGTTGATATTGAATTGATAAAGTAAGAATAAAGTAGCAATGATTTAGAACCACACAAATTTTACCAAAAAAAGTATGGGACAATCTTAGTGGGACGGACCGAAATGGTAAAATGGGACAATCATAGCGGGACGGAGGGAGTAATTTATAGTGTTCCACTGTTCCATAATACTCCCCCAGTCCTTAAAATTTTGTCAACTTTCCCTTTTTGGATGTTTCATTAAATTTGCCACTTTCCCTTTTAAGTAAAAAATCTGTGGTTCCAATTAGTTTCATCTCCTCTGCACAAACCTCAATCACACAGTTTTTACTTTATTAATTTCTGTGCCGGTCAAACTTGACAAAGTTATAAGGGACGGAGGGAATATAATACTGAGAAAACTGTCGATTATGCCCTCCTACTATGTACGGAAAGTTGATTATGCCCTTGTACTTTAAAAACACTCAATTGAATCCTCAAACTCGTTTTTGTGGAGAAAATTGAACTAAGAATCCGCCAACACTTAGAAAAACACTCAATGGGCTATTTAGCATGTCACCAACGAGTCTCCCATTATCCTTGGCCTTTTCTTTTTCTCTTTCCTTTTCTTATTTCTTTTCTCATTCTCTTCGTTCCCGGCCTCCTACAATTTTTTCGTTCCCAGCCTAATACTCCCTCCGTCCCAAAAAGATTTGGCCAAATTGAATTTTCTTGGTCAATGATAATCAACTTTGACCAATGATATCTTTTAATACAAAATTATTTAATATATGAAAATTATATGAGCTTATTCTTTGTTAAAAAATCTTTCATAAAAGTATAACATTTATAAATTTTTACATAAGTATGATACGTAAAATCATTGTCTAAACTTTAACATCAATGACCAAGAAAAGTTAAATTGGCCAAACTTTTTGGGACGGAGGTAGTATATTACACAACTAAAAATGGACATTGGCATAAATTATAGGATTATATCAGTAGTTAGTTAAAAAGAAAAGTGAAAATGTCAACTATCAGAGCATCTTCAATGTTACATTGTGCACGATTGCACCTGTGCCATGAGAAATAGTCACATAAATATTATATAACAAATAAATTATCTCTCTTCTTATATGAATGATTATTTTATGTAATTTTGGTAAGTTTTTCTCTGCAATGTCAACACCCAGACGGTCTTTTCTTAAAAAAAAGCCAAAATCATTTTTCTTAAATGGTTGCAAACAAAACCTGTGTATAGAAAGAATTCAATACGTGTAATGAACATTATGTACTTCGCATATTAGGAAGTTACCTTTATCAAAACATTCAACGGATCGGAGAAATGTGAAGAATGAATTTCATTTGAATGGTGTATTAATTTAATACCATACAATCACGTTCATTAAGAATAGTCACGCTCATAAATAAATATGATTAATTTCACACCAACGTTAGCTACAAATATTGTGAATCAATGGACACAAATTGTCATTAGATCAAATGTGATTTTCATATTATGTTCAATGAATTGTGTTATATATATAGGTGTTGACAATGTCTAGCAACAACACACAACATTCTTCTCAAAATGATTATTGAGAATGAAAGTCATGGTCAGTAATATTTTCATAACACCGTGCAAGTATATGTTATGGTCAATAAAGCATTCCTCTCAAAATGATTGTTGAAAATGAAACTCATTGTCAGTAATATTTTCCAAACGTTGTGCAAGTATATTTAATAAAGCTATGGACTGTCAAATACTCTGTGTATACAATTGACTAGCTTTCTTGAATATACCTTCACAGAGTTTTAGAATTGAAGCATTACTTGACGATGAGTTTCATTTTCAATAATTCTTACTTTGACAACCCCTATTGAATTGACTCTCTTATTCACGTTGTTGCTAGCCAGTTAAAAGCTGGTACAATATAATGTGTTGAATGACATATGGAGATAAGAAGCTAAGGTATGATTATCATATACGAAGTATATGTAACCGATCTATATATCTATATCTATATTTATATCTATCTATCTATATATATATAGAGAGAGAGCTCTTCTCATCAGGCCGGCCTGACGGGCTGCCCCGTCCGGCCGAGCCCTTTTGGGCACCTTCCCGGTGGAATTTTTTGATGAAATTTTGTGAGCATGTTCCTCATCAAGTCTAGTTTGTCCATACCAAATTTCAGCTCAAAATTCAATCGGGAAGGTCGTCAAATGATTTTTTCAAGTTAACTGGTCCGGAATATGTATTTTCCGGACCAGTTAACTTGAAAAAATCATTTGACGACCTTCCCGATTGAATTTTGAGCTGAAATTTGGTATGGACAAACTAGACTTGATGAGGAACATGCTCACAAAATTTCATCAAAAAATTCCACCGGGAAGGTGCCCAAAAGGGCTCGGCCGGACGGGGCAGCCCGTCAGGGCCGGCCTGACATGAAGAGCACTCTATATATATATATATATATATATATATATATATATATGGGAACTCTTCCAGTAAGGAATACCTTACCGGAGCCGCTATGCGACCTCCACGTTTTGAGGGCCTTCCCGGTGGAATTTTTTGATGAAATATTTTGAGCATGTTCTTCATCAAGTCTAGTACATCCATACCAAATTTCAGCAAAACATTCAATCGGGAAGGCAATCAAATGATTTTTGAAAGATAACTGCACCCTTTATATACATATAAAACACAGTTATCTTCCAAAAATCGTTTGACTGCCTTCCCGATTGAAGTTTTTGCTGAAATTTGGTATGGATGTACTAGACTTGATGAAGAACATGCTCAAAAAATTTCATCGAAAAATTTCACCGGGAAGGCCCTCAGAACGTGGAGGCCGCACGGCGGCTCCGGTAAGGTATACCTTACCGGAAGTTTTTCCTATATATATATATATATATATATATATATATATATATATATATATATATATATATATATATATATATATATATATATATATATATATATTAAAACGGAATAGTCTTAGGGAGAATTGGGCGGTAAGTGTGAACACAATAGATAGCAGCATGCCTGCTGAACATTAATTAAAAAAAAGGTAGATTCTATGGTACCCATAAGGTACCATACCTTTGTCCACATGGACTAATGAGAATGTTGCAGTTGAATTATTTAAATCTAACTTAAAAATGATAAAGTGATGTGGTCCAATCAAATGAATGATAGGTACGGTATCTCGTTTTTTAAAAGGGTACCGGAGTTGTCATCATAAAAAAATTAGAGTAAAAGAAAACAAACAGTACTGAATTTCATAAACTTCGTATATCGTAGTTTTTGTCAGTTCCAATGCATGCATAACGCATGAGTTCCTCCGCATTTGAAAGAAGACGCATGCTTTATCGATTTTGAAATATAAAAGAAAAGAAAAGAGAATTTACCCAAAATAGGACTAAAAAGGTTTGCAAATTCCAAAATAGGACTGACATGTTTTTATTTCCAAAATAGGACTAATTACTGCCATGTTTGGCAGTACCGGACTTCAAACATGGCAGTATTTTCCAAACTTGGCAGTAATTACTCCTATTTTGAGAATAAAAAACATGACAGTCCTACTTTGGAATTTTCAAATTGTTTCCGTCCTATTTTGGGAACTTTTCCCAAAAGAAAACGTGAAATATAAACGGTTGAAATCTAAAGTGTAGAGATCGAGGAGCTTCAATTCATTGCAAAGTCTCGGGTGACTTTTGGATTACCATTTATAGAGAGTTGTTTGTCAGCATGCACAAACACTGCCAATTCAAGACACCAACTAGGCAACTAACCAAACCAAGCGTATGAGAAAATTTGAAAAGTGAATGTCAAGCTATTCTTTCTTTCGTTGGTTTCATAGTATATGAATAGCATTACAGTGATTACTAAATATATACTTTCGTGATATGGGTGCAGGAATGAGAAGTCTGTGACGGGTTGCTTGGCAGGTTCGTGCAATGGCAACCCCCGAGGGTGTTCTGTAGTACACCTATGTGCATGCGGGCATACTACATACTTCGATTTTTGCGGCTTGGGTGTTCTTATTGTGCATGTGCAACATTATTGTGGTGGATAAAGTGATCTTGGGTTGGACGAGTGTGACTATGGGTTTGCTTTTTTCGAATTGCACAAAGTGTGGCTTTTGAGGTTATCGCATGTAAAAAAGTTAGCCAGCAAGAGTTGTGATTTCATCTAATAGTCAAAGAGTGTTGGAGTATACTTATTAAGTAAAACATTGCATGCTTTCTAGCTTATGCTTTGATAACTTCAGCTAGACCAAAGAAACATCTACTAGTATAGTGTACCGATCAATCTCTCCTGAGGAAAAGATAAAATGTTTTGATCAATTTTAGCTATCATTATTGGTAGTTTTTTTAAAACACCTAAGAGAGATGCATGCAATTGGGTTGAAGTCATGTTGTAATTCAGTGGCTCCATGTCGGGTGGGAGTCATTTTTTAAAATTATTTGGGTAAATAATTGAGTGGCTCCATGTTGTAAATTCGTAGGTTTTATTAAAAAAAACAAACTTCATATCAATAGTTCCGTTACAAAATATTTAGGACAATATTGAAAAATATTGACAATGGAAAATTATTTAGGACAAATTATCGAAAGGCATTTCAGTTTCAGTTGAGATAGGCTTTACAAATTACGAGGTATAATTCGGTAGCTCCATGTAGTAGTGGTGGACTGAACCGGGCCGGTTCAGGCCTCGGGCCTCGGGCCTCGGGCCTAGGCCCGGCCAGGCCTCGATTCAGTAATAGCAGGCTCGAGCCCAAACCGGAGTAGGGCGGTCCCGGGTCCGGTTCCGGGCCAGACCGGGCCGGTTCGGGCCACCCGGTTTAATTTTTTGTTTTTTTCCTTTCTTCCCCCCCCCCCCCACCCCCCCAAACCGGCCTAAACAGATAGCCCAAGCCCAACAGCCCAAAAAAATGAAAAAAAAATTAAAAAAAAAAAAATAGATTTGGCCCGGACCCGGACCCGGGCCCGAACCGGCCGGGCCGGGCCGTCAAACCCATGAACCGAGCCCGGAACCACCCCACCCCCGGGCCTTCGGCCCTAACCGGACCCGGACCCAGAAAACCGGGCCGGGCCCGCACAGTAGCGGGTCGGGCCAGTCCCGGGTCGGGCGGCCCGAACCGAGACCATGCCTACCATGTAGTATATGGTACGGAGTATTTTTTTTTTTTACATAACCAAACATTTAGGAGAGTATTAAGTAGCAACCGTGGGTATGCGCCCTGTAGTTAAATTTTTGAAAGATTAGTAATTAAATTTTCCCCCGTTTGTGGGTTGTAATGGTGTGCACTCTTTTGATCAATCAATTGAGTTAGGGGTGAGTAAATAAGTGACAAAACCAATAAAATCGAAAACCGATAAAATTGAAAATCGATACTCGAACCGACTGAAAAAGTCGGTTATCGGTTTATTACATATTAAAAGAGAAGTCGGTTAATCGGTTAACGGCCGGTTATTTTAATCGGTTATCAGTCAGTTAAGCAAAAACCGAAGTAGAGTCTACTCCATATAAACATTTGCATGACTTTATGTATGCAAATGTGATGCACAATACCGTGAATGTTTTTTGAGCGGGTTATTCACTTTTGCATGAACTTCATGTATGCAAATGATCATTTGCGAGCGGGTTACATTTTCAAACACTACTACAATTTAAGACCTAACGTAACATTGAAGATGTAACATACCTATAAAAGTGTTACATTTTTCTCTAATGTAACACTTTTTAGACCTAATGTAACACTTTTTATAAGTATAAATGTTACATTAGGGACTATAAACTTATAAAGTGTCACAATAGGTCAAATGCAACATGAGCAAATGTAATGATAAAAAAGTGTTACATTTTCTCTAATGTAACACTTTTCAGTGCTATTGTAACACTTTTGGGTGATACATTATGTTGAAATGTTGTAGTGAAACGATTTTAATCACCGCAAACATTGACGCAAAGATCATATATGAGCAAAAAACAATAGTCATGCACCAAAAATGGTCAAAGACGTGAACCAAATGTGAAATTGGTGCAACACTTGTGGAATCAAAAGTGGAATTTATTCAAAGAGTGTATAGTTCATATGAGTAAATTCCATGTTGCCTGCTTTCTTTGTTATGGTTTGGAATTCGTTCTTTAACAGACAAATTAAGGAGGGCTTGTCTTTAAACTTTTAGGGTCTGATCCTTGACATAGAGTGACGTGTTGCTCAAATGTCTTCCACCACTTGTTAAAGCGTTCAGCCTAATTCATTAGAAATTGCAAGAGAATTGAGATTTAAGAATAATGTATTTAAAAAATGATGATACTATATAGCATCCACAGACCTGCTGGCCTAATGAAAATAGTGTTTTCTCCAATCCACTCCAGCTGTGTTTCTCCTGGTCTTTGTTGCTTGCGAGGGAAACAGTCTAAATTATACTTTAGTTAGATCCCATTAAAACAGTAATTTAAAAAGATACGGAGTACTTATCTAGCCACTAAACACACGAATAAACACACATTACCCTTTCATATCGTTTCCAAAACTGTCTTCTGATACCAATCATTTTCTTGTAAGTTTTATCGATCTTGTCATGCGCTCCATAGATCGAGTTCACAAGCTTGGGATCAAGACTTTGCAAAACCTCTTGACATTCTCGATGTATCTCGCCAACAGGCAACTCCTCTAAACACTGTAAGTAAATAACACTTCACAATTCAGTCAGACAAATAAAATAAGACGATTATGGTATAGACTGCAAGTAGATAAGTTCACATTAATTTGGTTGACAATGTGCATCTTGGATATTGAAATATCAAACGGTCTTTCTTGTTCTTCAGCATTTCGCTGCTCTCGTTCATGATTTTGTTCGATGGCTTCAATCTTGTGTAAGATGTTGTGCACGACACCCTTAGATTTGGATTTGTTAATAAAATGAAGCTGAAACGAAAAAATCCACACAAAAACATAGCATTTCAATGACAAATAAATTGCATACTTACATAAGCAGTAAATACTTGAATTGTTTCGGCAAAAATCTCTCTTCAACACAAGGTTTTTATGACAGGTGATAGGGGATTGAAAAGACTTCATATTTGAAGGAAAACATGTGGTTGAAAGCTATTCACAAATCACAACAGAAACATTTAAAGGATATCCAGTAATCTAATTTCTTATTTCTTACAGCAGCTTCCATCTCAAGTTTGAGAGAATGAGTATCAGCATACTCTGCACCAGGATTTCTTGCATCTATAAATTCAGGTTCAGATAGGAGTTCATAATCCATTAGCTTTGCAGCAAATTCAGAATACATCTTCCTCATATCATCTTCAGATTTACTTCTTTTAATCTCCAATATGCCTCCTCCTGTCTTCTGCAACAAAAGCAAAAGCAAAAACAAATTAGGGAGTATGCAATTGGTTGATTCTCAAAATTACAGATCAGGGAGATGAAAACAAGCAACCTCGTCTAGTCCTTGAAGGTTACCATTAAGAATATCCCACAACCATACCATCCTCTCAACGGCAGTAAAGACGTGCACAATAGTATCCTGATCTCGAGCCACTTTGTCTACAAGATCCTGTTTGCAAACAAAAATAAATATCACGTGGAAATCGACAAGCATACAATAGGTATGTGGGTTTCGACCTACTTGGACTAATGCATCTCTAGACCGCAGATTTGCCTCAAATTCCTTGAGAACCTTTATTTTCGCAGAACATTCGTTGCAGGAACACACCTTGGAAAAATCGAATCTGGGCGGAAATAATACGCGAACCTCTGCCTCCCGTTGTACCACCATTGCTTTGTATGCCTCGACATCCTCCTTTGAGTCCTTTCGATCTGCTGCCATACTTGTATTAACTGCAAATTTAGTTGTGTTAGATGTATCCTTTACCTCCGGATTCTATATAGATAGGGCCGCAGGTCGTGAATCGGGAGAAATAGTCTCAACTCAGACTGCATTAGGGTTTATATTTTCGAAAATTCCAAAAAAAAAAACACTGAAATTTTGTATGAGTTCTAACAAAAAAAAACTTTTTTATAAGTTTTTACAAGAATATATTAGGTAGCAGTAGAATAAAACTTGCTTCCGATCTTTTCTTTAGTTGCAACCGTCAACATTTCACACGTGTCAACATAGATGGACTTTCAAAATTTTCTATAATATATATAGTATTTTCATAAAAATTTCATACTTTAATTATATATTCATGTGTTCGCCCCCCTTACCTTTTGATTTTTTTTTTAAAAATCCTTACCTTTTGATTTTAAAAACTAATATGTAGCTTTACATAATGTAATTCATAATTGAAACTTTAAAAGAAGAAACATCAAACATAATTTACATAACTTAAGCAAATAAAAATGGAACAACTCATTGTTTAAGACTTATGGTACTTGTTATATAAACAATCCTAGTTTTGTAATATTTAATTATCTTTATTAGATAGTTAGTACTCGACTTTGTAAAATATCAAATGATATTAAATACGAGACACACTAGTTAAACAATATTTAAATTATGTGAATTGAATCCAAAATATAGGTTCTTGTTGACATTGAATTAAATTACACTACTCATCTGCTTCTTACTTTTTAAAAATAATGTATTGCATAGCAGCATAGATAATAAACTTTAATTTTTTTAGCAATATAATACTCCCTCCGTCCCAATATAAAAGGCACATTTGCGTTTGAGGACTTTTTAAGGGTGAACACTGTTTGAACACTGTTTGGCACTGTTTAGACACTGTTTGGCACTGTTTGGACACTGTTTGGCACTGTTTGGCACTGTTTGACACTGTTTTGTTTGCCAAAAAGGGAAATGTGTCTTTTATATTGAGACGGACCGAAAAGGAAAGTGTGTCTTTTATATTGGGACAGAGGGAGTATGTATTACTACTTTCGTCCCCCTAAGTTTGGGACAAATGGGTATGGTGTAGTTATTAAGAAAAAGTAGAATTGCGTGGTTGTTATTGAATTCATAAGTGTAAATAAAGTGGAAATGAATTATAACCACTCAAATATTACCAAATATGGTATAGGATAAACTTAATGGGACAGACGAAAAACGTAAAACGGGACAAAGTTAGAGGGACGGAGGGGGTATTATTTTAAAAATAATGTATTGCATAGATTATATGCACCATATATATGTATTACCAATATAATATGTAGTATTATTTTAAAAATAATAATCTCATACATATTAGTATAATATTAAGAAAACTCTCTGTGACTCACGAACACCCTTCTTGGTAGACAAAAATTGCAACTCAAAACCAAATCTTTATTCCGTTAAAGTTTATGTGGTTAAACAAGGCAAACGTTATTTAAAAGGTATTGGTCGATGTGTACTTTTTAAACTTGTTGTCTTCAAATAATTTGATAAAATGTTGTACATCCCTTCTTATTTTCAAATATTTTTTCTTTGATTTTCCATTTCTTACACTTTAATGTATCTGTACTTTTGCTAGAGCACTTCAATTATAAAATCAAAGTTATCTCTCCATTGTCTAGATTTAGAATGTACTACTAATAGATTTAAAGCTTAAAAATGTCATTGTGTATGTAATAATGGAATTTTTGGAATAAAAACTAGCCGCATAGCCCTATAGTATCAAAAACAATTCGCCCGCTACATTAGCGAAAATATTTTCACCTTGACACTAACGGAAAAAATTTGCCACACTTGACGCAAAATCCTGGATCCGTCCCTACTTGTCAACGCACATCTTTGACTGTAATTATATCTTAATCTCTATTAGTAAAAAAAATATTAAAATAAGATTTTGAAAATTTGTAATGAGATGAATTGAACAATATTATCTTTAAAAAAATCATAAAATAATAGAGTAAAATGTAGTCTAAGTAGAACATGTGAATAGTGTAAAATTCAACATTTTGTGATTAAAAAACAGAGGATAGTATTACATAAATATGACTATTCATTACTACAATGTAGTGTTGTTGTAGTAACTTAAGTTCAACATTTGAACATAAATTACCATGGTTTCATTACTATTCTAGTAACTAGTCATGTTTTTGTAAATTATCTTAATTTTGGTCATATTTATGTAATTAAATATGACGAATTTACGGGCAGTTTTATAGGATTTTTCAATTTACGAGAAATGGTAGCTTTGACATCCGAAATATATAAACCAACAAATACACACACATGAATATCTTATTTAAATATTTTATTAATAGTCCACCCCCTCCCATCCAAAATAGCTTATGTTGTAGTAGTAAATCCAAAATAGCTTATGTTGTAGTAGTAAAGTTTTTAAACATGGGATATATCAATATCCAAAGCGGGACCTATTTTTTAAATGGTGACAATTCCGGTACCCATTTAAAAAATGGGGTACCGTACCTATCATGCATTTGATTGGTTCAAATCATTATATGCTTTTTAATTTAGATTTAAATAATTCAACTGCATCATTCTTATTGGTCCATTTGGACAAAGGTACGGTACATTTGGGGTATCATAGAATCTACATTTTTAAATAAGCATCGGAACATAGAATTTCATTTTCGGTAGATATTTAAGGGATTTTGGTCATTCTAATTTTCTCACTATCCTTTTTTGGATGTCTCATAAAAATATTTTCATTTCTATTGTAGGAAACGATTAACATTCTTAAATGTCAATATATAGCAAAATATTTTTTTACTTTTTCAATATTTTTTTGCAAAAATTACATACTTTTTTAATAATATAAAAAAAGATTGTTAATTAGAGGAAACCTATTAATTGGTTTTGTTTATTTATCAAACAACGATTGTTATCATCATGATTGACTAAAAAGAAAAGTAACATAAATTTCAGATGTTTTTTTACTAGCTTTTAATTTTTTAATTTCAATGATGAATTTTTTTTATTACAAGTACATAAAATAAAATGTATTGCGTACCCACTACAAGAAAAACAACGCTTTGTCATAGATTTTTGTCACATGTTTTGTCCCTGACAAGTTTGTCACGAATTTTGTCACGGGTTTTATCACGGATTATTTTCCCGGCCCACGAAATTCATTTGTCACGAACCAATTCCGCGACAAATTTTTTCATTGAAAGCATCCATGACAAAATTGCCGCCGGTACACCAAAAGCATTCCGACTGGCATTTTTCCGTCGCTGGAAATTTGTCACGGATATTATCCCTGACAAAATTCAAAAACTTTACCAGTAGATTTTATCACGGATTTTTCCGTGGCAACATCCCTTACAAATTAAAGCTGATTTATTCGATTTGACCTGATTGTACAGGTTCGATTTGTCACGAAATAGTCCGTGGCAAAGTTCGTGACAAGGCCAAGTAAATGTTGTTTCTAACGATCCCGCCATAGGCAGATGGAAATTAAAAATCCCTGACACTTTTTTCTACATACACATGAATCGATTCATTCCATTCTTAGGAGGTGTTTACTTCGCTGCTAAAGTCACAGTTAGGTTAGTAAGATAAGTGAAGTAAACATGCACGCTGCTTAAAAAGCCGCTTACTAACCGAAAGATGTGCTTAAAGTGCCGCTTACTAAGCATCCCCCCATGTATTAATTAAGCGGCACTTTAATCTTTTTCAGTTTCCGAATTTACCCCTTTCGCTTACCCTATTGTTGTTACCGCCTACCCCACCCCGACCCCAAACCCCACCCTACCCACTACCTCCATCCATCCTCGTACCTTACCCCTACTCGACCATTACCCCACCCCCACCCGCGCGTACCCTTTCTCCCTACAACAACCCTACCCCACCCCCACCCCAATCCCATATCAATTTAAAAAAAAAAATGCTGATTGTCGAATAGTTGAAATATATGTGGTACTAGTAACAAATTAGAGTTGAAATCTCAAAAATTGGAAGCAGGTCAGTACCTGATTTGCAGATTGGTGGGGCATCTGGCGCCTGACAGAACTTGGCAGAATTGCAGAAATTGAAATCGGCCGAAGACGGAAGACCGGGAGAGCGGATGTTCTTTTCCTCTTCTGTATTTTAAATTAATTATTTAAGTAACTAACTTGTACTAGGCTACCTAGGAGTCTAGGGACTAGGGCCCTAAATTTTAATTTCATACGGAGTAATTCTATTGGGCCATCCTGTTTGGCAAATGGCAGCAAGGCTATGTGTGACATGTCTTGTCAATTGACAATTTCCAATTGCAAGTTCACCAAGTTGGAAATTAATACGGAGTGTTGCATTCATGCAGAGTATATTAATATATGTATATATAATAACACTAGGCTTTGTATAAAAAAAAAATGATGCCCCCTGTGTGGGTGGTGCCCTAGGCCATTGCCTAGGTGCCTACCCCCTATGGCCGACTCTGCACATGAGATATAAATAGTAGGAATATACAAATCATAGATGGTGTATTCATATGTGGAATCAGCCACATCTTTTCATTTTATCTTGAACTAGCTTAGCTTCCTCCACTACATTGATAATTGTCTTTAGAAATTACAAAATATGAAAAGGGACCGAGCAAGTTACCAACGTTCCAAATCTAGGGTTACGAATATTGTACTCTTTCATTATATCCAAGTCACATGCATATATCGATAGTCCTCAATCTCCTCATCATGTTGGCTTCGTATATTAAGCATTGTGCTAAAATGATCGATAGTTCCCATGGTGCAACAATTCCTACATCACAAAAATGTATGAATAAGATTTTTAGATGTCACTTAATAATTGACTATAGATAGCTCACTTGACAATATATAAATCATTAGGAATATCATACCGGCCATAAGAAAGTTTGAATAATTGCCTATAAATATATTCAAATCATACTTGATCTCCATATTTTATTCAACCAATTAAATTATATTAGTTTAAAATTGTGTAGCAACAACATACGTGAATAAGAGAGTCAATAGATTGCCAAATAATTAAGAATTATTAAGAATGAAATTCATCGTCAAGTAACATTTTCAAAACTCCGTGAAGGTATATTCAAGAAAACTAGTCAACTGTATATTAGACAGTCCAATAGCTTTCTTAAATATACCTATACGGTGTTTTGAAAATGTTACTTGACAATGAATTGCATTCTCATTAATTTATTTGAGAAGAATGCATTGACGGCTTCTACAAACATTATTAGTTGTGTTGTTGCTACGCGTTATCAAAGCCAATATAACATATTTGATTGAATAGAATACAGAGATCCAGATTGATCTTATGACAATTTGCATAGATCAATGATCACAGTATTTATAACTTACTGAGTGTCACATATGTAATTGGTATGAATATGATTGTATGGTATTGAATTAATACACCATTCAAATCAAACCCTTTTTTACATTTCTCCTTTAATGCTAAGAACATAATAATGGTTTACGTATACAACATCCTTTTTATAGACCGATAAAATTTAAAACTTGTCAATTTTATATTTTGGCGAGCTCATTTTATATCACCACTGGTCAATCGGTATATTGTGGGGTGACCCATGATGAGCATCATACTATCACACCTAAAACGACGTCACTCAAATTAAAGTTTTAATTAAAAACAATATTCACCATTCCCAGTGACAAAGCTTTGTAAGTTTTTAGTAATGTAACTACAATTTAAATTTTGAGAATTTAAATGTTAAGGGCCCTCATATTACACAGATAGGAAAAATGTCATTCTTCGTAGATAAAACGTGTCTACTTTTAAAAACCCTAGAGCATGAATAGGCGGCGGCAGGGAGGGTTATCGCTGCCTCCTTTGCGATTCAAGTGGTCGGCTCACGCTAGGACGATCGCTCTGGCATAGAAAAAGATGGCATCCGTCTTCAGGCTCGGGTGGTGAACGCTTCATCAACGTCAGGTTTTGCTTCTTATTTTCTCGATTTTGCTGGGCATCCAGTGTGTTAGTTCACGGGCTCGTTTCCCGTCGTCTGGTCTGGCCGTTCGGCTCTTCCGTGGCCGTGTTCTTTTGTGGCCGTGTTTCTTGCTTTCGCTTCAACTTTGAGTATATGTTTGAAGTTTTGTGCAGTGGTTGTGTTGATCTTGTTGTTGCGGTTTGATCTTCCGTGAAGTGTGCGGTACTTGTCTAGTGGCTATTGTGTTTTTGGGGTCTGTTGATATGAGTGGCTTAATTCCTTTGGAGGTGGTTGGACAAACCTCTTCTAACTTCCCAATGGATAGTCAATTCGGAATGCTGTCTTTGGAGGTGGTGGATAAAACCTCTTCTCCCTTACTGGTGGCTGGTGAAACAAGAGAGTCTATTGATTATGAGGCTGATCACCCCCTCCTGAATCACCGCCGATCAAGGAAGATGAGAGTGAATGGATTGCTTTCTTTCCGATGGTTGGTGAAACCGGAAGTCCGAAACCATTTCTGCACTTGTCTCCTTACCGGTGGTTGGAAAAACCGGCAAATTTAACAAATCCATTTTTGTGGCTGGTCAAACCGGACCTATTTCGAGTAGCATGAGCAATCAACTTGCGGGACGATTCTACATAATTGAAGGGTTAGCGAACATAATAGCTTTTTTATAGCTTTTTTTATTCTTTGTCTCACCCTAGTGTAGGGTTGAACGCTGTGATTATAATTCTTTGGCTTTTGATTGTTATGTTTCTGGTTACTCTTATCAATAATAATTATTTGATTTTCAAAAAAACGTGTCTGCTTTTTGAAAATCAGTGCTAAAATATTCAGAATGTTGCTAGTTGGGAGTTCATGTGTAAAAAATGAACTAAAAATTTCTTGAACACATTCACCATTACATAAACAAAATGTGTCATACTTGCCGCCCCTAAAAATGTATGTAAGCCTAAAAAAATTATAATTTATTATATGCACCTTTGGACCCCTAAAACAGAAACAATTCAAACAGCAAATATATCAGTCAATTCAGGTCAAGAACCAGTTTACTTCCTTAGCCGGACCGGTTCTTGTCCGGTTTTGAACCATGTCCAGCCCTCATCACACAGCACCATATTTAGGAAAGAGAACTCTTCTTAAACTTCGATCATCCTGAAGAAGTGAGAAAGATGAAAAAAATACTGATAGATTACAACCTACTCTGAGAGAAATGTATTCAAACCCAAAAACACAAAAACAAAACAAAAACTATAATTAAAATCAGTTGCGAAATTCTAACTAGCCTGAGTGGCCGAGTAAGATTTGATTCCCTACAAGGCTACTAGTAGTATATGTGAAACAACATTTTTACAAAATAACAGAATTGAGGAAACCCACATTAGTGAAGGCTCATAATGACTCTGGGAAAAACTTCGTTAATCAGCAACTGCATTCAGTAATGCACTTCAACGCTCCTAATCTTTAAGCTAACGCTGCTTTAGTGAGCTCCAAACCTGTACCTTGCAAACAATTTAGTCCAAAACAGTCCATTGGTCTGGTCTGTATAAGGCTGGTCAGATATTGAAACAAGTCCAATTAAAAACATCCTCAAGAAACAAATGGAAACATCACACACACACACACATGCCTAACCAATGCAGCTAAAGAGTCTATGTGGAAGAGGTAAATATGGATGGAGTATTCAAACTGTAATTTTTTCTTCAAAAGTTCAAAGAAAATGTGATCTAAATGATTTAAGTGTTACAGAGTGTTATTTATATTCATGACAGAAAGAAACACAAAGGACGTGTTTGGCATTTAGCGGTTCGCGGATTATGTTAGCGGGTTGTTAATAGTGGATTCAGTCGGCGGGTTTGATTAGCTGAATAAGTTGGCGGGTTGCAAATATATGTTTGGTAATTTGGCTGTTTGGCAGTAGCAATTAGTATGAATTGTCCTATTTCAAAACAGTAACCCAAAACGCTGCTATTTGCAGCATTTCCATTTCAAACAATGTACCAAACAATGTTTTCACTTATTGAAAGCGCTAAAAAGGGTCAAACCGCTATTTTTTGCTGTAACGCCATTTTCCAAACACTCCCAAAATCTAATGCGCAACTATTTATAATATAGAAAAAACTTACATAACTAAAGATACAGTATTTTATAACCTAAGATCAAGAAACAAAGATAAATGAGTAAAATAAAAAAGATCACCCTCCTCTCTGAAAACCCTCAACCAAACAAGCCATAGAAGAGTAGAATCCTTCTCTGATGCAATAAGCAAGAAAAGAAATACTTTGATTGTATCACTTTCCTTTTTTGGCAGTTTCAAAATAATTGCAATACTTCTACTTTTGGTAATTGCCATTTTCCAAACACCCCCAAAATCTAATGCGCGACTTTTTTATAATATCAAATGTTTCAGTAAATATGGCCAAACAATTGTGATTCTATTGAAAACTAACTTCTTTATAAAAAGATGGAAATAAACAATCACAATTAGATGATGCTGGGTTTTTTCCAGTTAAATGCACCATAAGAAAGCCAGTTAAGGTACCTTGATCTAAGATTTGACTCATATGATTTTGTTTCTAATCTCTTCAAGCTTTTTCAAAATTTCCCCTGGGGTTCTATCGAGCTCATCTGCAATTTTGCGCTGCAAGTCCATTGGCAAAGTAGGAAACTGTTCACACAAGTCTCCATCAATAACATCCTGCAAAATAAGACCAGCCCTATTCATCAATAAAAAACCAATGATCCATTGAGTACTGCCCAGTCTACCTCAGAAGCTTGTTTGGCTCAGATTATACTCTTTTGAAGTAGATATGTTTCAAACTCATCTAGACTAAAGAAGCACACCGCAATTCAAATTCTACCTACCATCATCACACTTCACCTTGATACAGAGGCTCCAAACTGATAGCAAGTGTAAGGTTGGGGATGACCGGGTGATATTTATATTATTAACTCATTCATACATTAGATTTTTGGAGAGAAAGTGAAGATAAAGCTTACATAGAAAAAACTTACATAACTAAAGATACAGTATTTTATAACCTAAAATAAAAAAGAACATCCTCCTCTCTGAAAACCCTCAACCAAACAAGCCATAGAAGAGTAGAATCCTTCTCTGATGCTAAGCAAGAAAAGAAATACTTTAAATGGAACACTTTCCTTTTTTGGCAATTTCAAAATAATTGCAATACTTCTACTTTTGGTAATAAGATATAGCTACAATAACTAAAATACCCTTTCACACCATATCAATATCAGCACCCTCTCACCAAATATCCCAAAATCCCCTCGGAGATCCACCTGTTCATTTTTCTTTTTTCTCCTCTTTCTACCCCCCCCCCCCCCCCCCGTAATGTTCATTCCTACTATATCTTCCACCCTCACTGTGTCTTCTTCTTTCATTTCTTTCCTCCACTATCTTTCAATTATTTTCTTAATAGGAAATACACCATGAAATCGTGAACGACAAAACACAAGTTTGCTTGCTACAGCTGCTCTTGTTAAAGATCCGGCCAGTTGAGACACTAAGAAACATGGATTTTCTAAGGGGCTCGCCTTCAATGAATTGAGATGATAAGAACTAATTTGAATTAGCAACCAGGAATTAGAGGAAGCGTCGTATTTGTGAGAAAGCAGTAACTAGAGTACCTTTCGAGGAAGATTTCATAATCCAGATTATAGAGTTAGATGAATCAAGAATTAAATGTAAAATCGGTAAATCAGTTATACTAATGTAAAATCGGTAAATCAGCTATACTATAGTTCTTGGTCTACTTAATGAAAGATATGACGGAGATGAAAAAACTAAAGGTGAGCAAGGCAACAAATGTTTTAAAAGGAATCAGTGGTTACAAAGAAAAATTAGTAGAAGGAAGACAGAGAGTTTTGTTGTTAGAGATGCGTCAGATGAGAAATTAGAGCATGGAGGGAAAAATAGGAAGAAAAAATATGTGTATGAATTTTTTAATATTTGTGCCCGTTTCTATGTTGCAACTTTTACAGAATGCAGAAGTACTCAACAATATCAATACTCATAAATTTAAAGCACGTTGAGCAAAGACAAATGAAAGTTGATTGAACTTTACCTTGACCGGGAAGTAGGCAGATCTGTAACCCATGTGGTCTCTACCACACAAGGGCGGGTGTTCTTGCCTTAAATGCATCTCCAGATGAGAGAAGAAGTCAACGTCATCTCTGGAGGTAAAGGGAAGCAATGAACCAACACTCCCCATAACAGTCCCATAGATGACACATTCCTCACCCCCAGGAATAAGAGAAGCCCTTTGCAGGCAACTGACGACATCACCAACATGAAACTGCACAATTTCATCAACCTTGTTGGGAGCTCCATTCAACTTACCTTGTTCCCATTTTATCTTCCCGCCTGTTGGGTCTTCTTCAATCTCGTCCGATACATCCTGGGGCAAACGCACAAAATAGACATTCCCAAACTTGTCGGCCCCTGCCATAGTGTCAAAGTCTACATGAGTTGCTGCAGTAAGCCATCTTGGAACTGTGTCATCAGCAAATATGTAGAGTTGGTTCTCATCGCGACGGTATTTGCAATAATGGAATGACTGACAGAGAAAGGGATGCATAATGTGTTAGAAGAATATAAACAACTTAAGAAAAAACTACTTTTATATACCAGAAAGAAATCTATATTCTATATATATTTATTAACAAAATAGTGGGAGGGAACTTTTGGTCAGGAACAATGTAGCTAACTTTTTAAATTAATTACAAAAAATATAAAAAAAATATGTATTATCGTGAAAAGTGCATTGTGTTAGCAAGACTATTTAATTACACGTTGTTGAGTGGTTCAAGACTTGGGTTTAGCGGCTCAATGAATTATCATTTAACTCGCATTTATTACTGCTTGCATCTGTTTGTCTTTACCCAATAAGACTTGAGTTTAGTGGCTTAGTTAATATTTTAGAAATTAGTATAAACTTTGAGATGTCTTTACAGATCTCTAGAATAGATTATTGGGTTTAGTGGCTCAATGCAATTAATATTTTAAATTGTTAAACAATAAAATCAAGTATAAATAGCGGGTGTGGGTGCCTTGAATCACCAATGCAAAGGCAACTTTCATATGCTTAATGATCTTTTTTTATTTAACAAAATTCAGCTTTGTACAATGGAATAATGGAATTGCATACCCCATGCATCACACGGGTACTATACTAGTTAGGACTAGAACAAAACAGCATGAGGAGAAACACAGTGTCTTAGAAAATGAACACAGAACAGCAAAAACAACTAATTTTTATGGAAAATAACAGAAGGCTCACTACGGCTAGATAAGAGCTACATTAGACTGTTCTTGACTTATTGAAGTGCCAAATTACTCTCATTCACAATACGATATAATGTAGTAAAATAGTTATACAAATAATAAATACTCCTTCCGGTCCTAAATAATCTTCGTGGTTTGACTTTACGGTTTTTAAGAAAGTGGAATTTTTTGTTTTGACTTTCCCACCATACCCCTAGAAAAAGTAGATAAAGTGTAGTGGGAGAGAGAAAGTAGGTGTAAAGTAGGTAATAAAGTAAGGGTATAAGGATAACTTTACATTAAAAACTTTCCAAAAGTAGAAGTGTGAAGTTTATTTTGGACCTACCCAAAAAGGAAGTTTATTTAGGACTAGAGGGAGTAATAAATATCATAATAAATAATAATATATCATAAAAATAGTTAGAAACAAATGGTTTGATGTTGGCCATGCTCTAAACTAAATGATTTCAAATACTCTCTCAGTCCCATTTTGTAAGATATCTTTCCTATTCACTTGGTCAACACAAATCACTCTTAATCTTTTACTTTGTATATCAAATTTTTATCAAATTTGATTCTGGTTATTGTGACTTTGTAAAACTTTTAATGTAGTTTTTGAATATGTAATTTTTTTTACTAAAAATAATTTGAGTGCGGACAGGGATGTGTTTGCTTTATCGTAAACCGTAAAGTATCTTACAATTCGGGACGGAGGGAGTATGATATAGTTAAATAGAAAAGAATCAATTCTCTTATTATACCATATAAATATGCATGCAAAGGGGATGTAGATATATATATACATATATTCGACTATTCTTACAATGCAGTAGTTATAATCACAACAAAAATAACTGCTATCCCATTTGTTCATATGTTGTGATGTTGTCTATATAGATTATCAATCATATTAAAATTTGAATAACAAAACGATGTAATTTATTTAATCTTATATTTAGACATTAAGTACTTCAGATAACTTTCAAAATCATTGACGTGATAAAGTACCAATTAGCTCATCATTTTAGCATATTCAATTTAAATAAGTTAAGGATTTTAAAAATTATTCATAATATTAGATGTTGAAATATAAAAGTCTAACAATGGGCATCATTTTAATAATCGACACACCTCTTGCATGTCACCAACGTATATGCGATCACGGTAGGTAGTAATAGAGGTTATAGTGTTGGGGAAAAGCTTATTCTCACACTTCCTTAGCAGCCTTTTCTTCCCCAAATCGTACAACCTAAGAACTGGACCAATGCCAGCCAATAATCTTCCTTGGAACTGGCAAAGTGCAAGAGGGACCTCTTCTACCTGTGTCTTGTGCAAAAGCTCGAGGACCTTTCCGTCTTCCTTAAACTTATAAACATGTATGTACGCAGCTTCAAAAGATCGCTTGGGCCAAAATTGCAGTCCCTTTGTTGTACCAACGATCAGAAGAGCTCCATGCTCCTTATCATGGAAATTCACAGTGGATATACTGAATGCGGCTTCATTATCTTGAAGTTCAAGCAGGCAGGTGGTCTGAGCTGTTCTTGGGTCAAGGATTCTGATGCATGACACCCACTTGTCTGATTCAGCCTTAGGATAACCATACTGCTCATCAGAAAGTGGGTCCTCACTATCCTCGTCATCACCACCTCCATTCTCCATTTTTTCTGAGTTTCCAGACCCTGAATCAGCAAAGCACTCCTTCTTAACATTTTCACGTTCCTCTGCAGTGAGTGCCCCCTGATCGCTCTCGATGATCACTGCCAGCTTCCTTTTGGGTTGAAGAACAAATTTCCTTGGGGTATACCTCAAAGGTATGGATGTTTCATTGAATGTTTCTCCCAATCTCTCAATAGTGAACACTCTCAAGGCATCCCCAGCAACAGACACCACACCCTCTGCACACTGATCGGATGAAAAGGATGCAGCATATTCAAGGGTTTCATAAGATAATGGTGTTAGAAGGAAATGGCCTTGATGAATGTAACCGAGCCATGGTCTACTTGACAGACAGAGCATAGCACGTCGGCCTCTCACAACAATAGAAAAAAGCTTAGGGGCCCTAAGACCTAAAAACCTTGACCGGGCATCTGAGAGCTGACCTGTAACCATATCCACGACCGTTCTGAATAAAACCCCATTCTGTAAACCAGCGTTCAAAAAGAGACTCGCTGGATGGTCCGCACCATCCTCCCCGCCAACAGAAGCCTGAACTTCTAAAAAGAGTAGAGAGTCAGGTGGGGAAGAGACACTCTGCAAGCTCAGTATCTGCATACAATCATCCGGATCAAGGGAAAGAATTCGGATTGTGTTGTCATATGATCCCACGGCGAGAAAGCGGGACCTCTGTCTGCCTTCCGGAACAGGGGCAATGTCTAAACATGCCACATCACCAGACATCTCATGCTTCTCAACCTCCATCAGCTGACCAGTCATGTCAACTTCAAAATATATAAGCTCACCCCCACTCAGAGCGATTACCACCTGGAGTCTATTGGACCCTACCTTAACAATAGTTCTCTTACCAGGAGTTCTCCACTCATTAATCCTGCCATCTTCTCTAATATGCCTAATCCCACTTGGATGAACTTGCATAAGAGAGTCATCACCCATTAGCGATACAGAAAGTGATGGGGTTGTATCTAAGAACCCACTGTCACTTACTTCTTCAACAGTCTCACCAATAGAAAGCACAAGTGTGGCATTTGCAAACGAGACGACAATGTAAGCATCAAATTCATCGTTCACGTTCTTTTTCACTGTCCAAACAGCACTTGGTACACCAGGAAGCTGCGAAACAGCCATTTCACTAACAGCCAAACCAGGCCTTAGTATCCGTAAAGATGATCTGGGACCCCTTCCACATAGTGAGAATATTTGAGGGGTCTCTTCCTCAAAAAGGTTTGTAATTTTCATGTCCATGAGTGGCATCAAGCTCTCCACTTGATCAATCCTGACTAGATTCTTCAGCTTCCTTGGTTGGAAAAACACAGGCTGGAAACCTTCGTCGGTTTCCATTAGTGTAGCTGATGAAGCTTCAACATCAGGATCATCCCCTATTGCCTGAAATTGATACAAAGCGTGATTTCCAAATTCTGATGCAGCAAACAGGAAGCCAGATTTTAAAACACACAAGGAGGAGGTGACTGGAATTGTATCAAAGTACTTTATCTTTAACTCCTTAACCCTGTCATTGTCGTGATCCAAAGTAGCCTTGAAAATGTCTCCATATTCTGTTTGCAAAAGAAAGAAAAACATGGACTTCTGCTTGTGCATGGCAGCTGAAACAATAAGAACACCTCGTTCTGCAGGTAAATCTGCACGCCTGGGAATCACAGCTCGAATATCAGGATGGCCTTGGTTCTTATATATGACAAAATTTTCAGCACAAACAAGCACACCACTTGGTCCATCAGCACCACCAGGAACAGTCACAAGTAGATTAGCACCATTGTCAACCTGCTCTGACCATTTCCTGGAGACATGATTAAGCCCCAAGTCCAACTCATAAAATGTCAAATGCTTCTGAGCTTCACTGGCAGCTTGGCCAGTAGGATCCTGGTCGGCTTCTGAATAATCCAACTCTACTGCTGCAAATATAGGGTTATCAAATCCACAATCAACACCGCAAATCGAGTAGGTTATGGTGTGACTCTTATGAGCTTCCAGAGGCGATGAAATAGTTAACCTAGCCGCAGTGTCCCTGTTCAAAACATAAACAAGCTTCTGTTTTTCACAAGCCCCGATCATAACAGCCCTACCCTTTGGGTCAATGGCCAGGTACTGACCTGGAACGATTCTCCTACATCCGGACTTCCCAAAAGTCTCTTGATGAACTTTATCGAACCAGTTCTTCTCCTTATTGTACTCCAATATCACTAACCTCCCTGAATCCGACCCCACCACAATGTAATCCTTCTGCGCACCAGTAAGTCGAAACTGAGCTAGCGAACGAATGGCGCCGAAGATATCAACTGACAGAAGCGTTTGGAGCTTACCATTGTCATCAGGGCGGATGAGGTCGAGGACTTTGCCACGAGCGACCACGATTTCTTGGACCTTACCACCGGAGAAGTTCCCGTTGATGGCGCAAAGTATGCCGGTGGGCTTCTGGAGAGTTAAATTGTACAGATACATGACGGTGGGTCGACCGGCGAAGGAGGGTAGCTAGAAACCCTAGAATAGGCTGCGCTGTAGAAGCAACCTCTCAACAAACAAAGGGAGAGGAAAGGGTAAGCAGGCGGCAAGCAGCATACTCATGTTTAACGTACGAGTACAATTCTTTGTTTACCCCAAAAACATACGAGTACGTACGTACTACGTACTAGAAAAAATATAAAGAAATCTTAATTCTAGTAATTTTTTATACAAATCATTTGCACAAAATATCCATTTCTTAGCAATTTCTTAATTCCCAAGTATGAATTAATGTAGTTTTATTGATCTTTTAAAAAATTACAAGGAAAAGGGTGTTGAAGTTTTGGGAAAGAATGAAATATTCATGGATTCTCTATGATACTCCATACTATTTTCTTGGTGTTAGAATTATCTTAATGTATATACATGATGATTTATGAAGATTATGGAGTAGAACTATGTATTTCAATATCGTTCAAGCACAACACTCTATATAGTTTGACGACTAAATGCGAGTTCTTCCCTTTCCTCTCTATAGTTAGAACTTTCGGCTGATTACCCTCAACGCCCCTCTCTTTTGACTCCATGCTCCCATGTTTGTCCGAGGTTGTGGTGATTCCAGACGACAGCAATGAATCCTGATCCACATGTTTGGTTCAAAAAATGGTTAAATGAAAAGTGACAGCTTTACTCATTCTGTCATTTACTTTTTTAATTGGGTTCTTAAAATTAGCTGGTTTAAGAAAGAACTCAGTGAGACATGTTTACATATGTAACTTTCGGGCATATTATATTACCTTCAAGTAACCTGGGAAAGGAATCAGTTGTCTTCCACCACGTGTTCATCTTTTAACTCTTAGAACCAACGGAAGGAAACTACTCCAAGTGTTCAATTTCCACTTTTAGAATCTCTTATTCTCTTAAATGCATTTCAAGTTCTAAAAACACTTTTTCTTTTCAAAATAATCTTTCTTGAATTCTTTTACAGTTCATAAAATACTTTCTAAAAGTCAGTTATTAAACTCTAAAAGCTTATCGGTGTTACATTCTAGAAACAACTTTTACATTTGAGCCACTTTTAGAGCCTAGCTGTCAATTACTTTCCTCTCCTTAGCTTCTTACAATATCATCTTAGATTCTTCTAGACTTGACTATAAGATAATGACACTGAGAACTAAGTATTCATGGATAAAAAATATCTCCTTCAATTTGCCCTTTGTCTCTACGTCCTCTTTCTCTTAAATTTAAACCAAATTTTCTCCTTACTTTCATTCATGTTTGAGCATGATTTTGTTGGCTTCAATTTGAGGCCTAATCTATTCAATACCTTCAAGGTTTCACAAACATAGCTCAAAACTCACTCATACTCCTCACACACACATCAACATTTAGACGTTTAGCTTTATCCTAACCATTGCAGTACTACACAAGATTGCCACCGAGAGAACTTGTGCACTTGTCCTACAACTCCCTTCACATACCTTCTCAGTATGGGTGCACCACAAACTCCAACACACCATAATAAGTAAAAAACAATGCTATGTGTTCCTAGTTAAAAAGTTGTTTTCAACCCACTCCAGGAATGACAAACCCCTTCTCCACCCAACACCCATCTCTGTTCACTCCAAACTTCCCCTTCCAGCGAGCAAGTGATAAACCGGTGATATGTACTCTCCTCTCCCTCAGAACAAAGGCTATATGAGGATGTGCAGTCCACATGCCAGCTTATAGACGATCCCGTATTGGTGGACTCCAGTGCACACCTGCATGAAGAACGCTTTCACCTTTGTTGGATATTAAAATGCCACATCTGAGTCCCGTGAGACCTTATTAGTTTTGTAAATTAAATATGTAATAATTAAAGCACCACCTCAGATGACTCAGCAAGAGTTCAGTGGCAGCTTCTAACGACATTCTCACAGAGACTTCAAACATCAAAGCAGTGAAACCACCATTCTTAGAAGACTTGTTTTTAAAAATATATGTCACGTTAAAGTTCTAAAGAGCACACTTCCATTTCAATTCTTCCCTATAAGTAAGCTAATTAGTACTTATCGTCAAATAAATCTTAAGCTATATGGAAAATTCAACATCAACCCTTGTGATATCTTTTATCAGATACAAAGCATTAATCATATTAACTGAGAATTCATTTTTCACAAACAAACCCTCTACACATGAACATCATAGAAAAAGGAAAAATAGTTGTCTCCGTTATTATCACCGTAAAATGCTAACTTCAACTTTTCTAGAGCAGAGAGTAATTGAGAGAGCACCAAAAAACCAAAAAGAAATTTAAAGGCAGCACAATCAGGAGCAAATGAAGCAGAGAAAGAGGGATATCCCAAACACTGACATCATAATATGATGTATTAATGATGAAGAAATGAGCAAAGTCTAGCAGGAAACGAAGAAACAAAATGGAGACATACTTGGACGGTTGGCGTCGGAGCACATAAACGATGGGAGCTCGGTGAGGTTAGGGGCGGATGGGGCATTGGGGCGAGTTGTGTGCACTGTGCAGCGTGAGTGTGGTTAGGACTTAGGAGCCGCTGGGAGACGATGGAAAGGGGAGGTGTATTCAACCGTTCAACTTAACGATAACAGAGGAGACAAAACGGATGGAGCTATGAGACGGACACAAAACACAAAAATAAGTAGTTCCTTTAATAGAGTACATCTCACAAAACCTATTGTACCACCTCACTAAGCTGGATGATTACACCAACATTTTTTTCATCCCTAAAATGCCCTAACCCTCATTGGCTATTATAAGTTTTTAAGATAATCTTAGGTGTAAGTGTAACAATTCACTTTGTATATTGTTAATGCACAATTTTGATGTTTAATATATATTATTCTCTATTAGTAGAAAATTAAAAAATCTGATTTTTTTTATCATCCAAATCGAACTACTTTATTAATTTAGAGAATCATTAGCCAACTGGCTCTGAATACAACTAGGTACAGACAAATACGTACTGACCTGATCTCAGATTAAAACATGTTCTCTTGATAACGCATGATCAACACGATTCGCACACCATTTACAATAAGAGATCTCAAAATTTCTCTAAGAATCTAACAAATATCGGATGTCATCAAGAATAATATGAATATATGAACACCCACCCCCCTTTCGAATACCATTTACCGCCATAAGAGCGTCAGACTCTATCTCCACCTTGTTCCACCCAGCCTCAATTGCTCTGAGGGCAGCTTCTTTGATGCCCACCGCTTCCGTTTCAGCTGCAGTCCAATTGGCTCAAACTGACCCTCCTTTTGCCTTAACAAAACTGCCATCCTCATCTCTTGCTACCCAACTCCATGCGCGGATCTTTCCTGCTTCATTAACGACACCATCTACATTGATTTTAATAGTCCCATTCATCGGCCTTTTCCATTTATCCAAACTTTTCGAACCTGACTGATTCTTTTCCTCTTTTTCCACCTGTGCATCCTTCCATTCAGCCAACATACCTGCCGCTCCATTGATAACATTAGCAGCATTATGTTTTTTATCCTTCCACACTGCATTGTTCCGTCTTTTCCACAAGCTCCATAATAAAGTTATAAACCTCTCCCTTTTTGCCCCATCACTACCCGAAATATAAGCAGAAATCCACTCCTCAACCGGTTTATTCTCCTCTGGCTGGATAGCCGCAGCCCTCCACACATCCTTTGCCCACGACCAGCTTCGAAAGGCATGTTCAATAGATTCGGTTTGACAATCACACAATTTACACCCATTTTGAATGGCCATACCCCTGTGTCTCAAATTATCAACCGTCGGGATCCACCCATCTAAAACTTGTCATAAAAAATATTTAAAGTTAGGAGGTACTCTAGCCTCCCATAACCGTTTCCAGGATTCCATTGATGAGCTTTGAAATTCTACCATAAGAAGCCGATAACAACTCTTAACCGAGAACAACCCATTCCTTTCCCCTTTCCACCAAAACCCGTCGGCCCTCTCCCTGGCACTGATAGGAATACTCAGAATTCTTTCCTTATCTTTTTCATTAAAAATAGAATTAATTCTATCTCTGTTCCATTCCTTCCCGGTGGAATCCCTCAACGCTGCCACATTCATATCTTGTACCCATTGTGGTTTTGCTGAGGTAATGCGGCCATCATCTTCTCCTGGTAGCCATGCATCAGCCCAGACTTGCACCTTCACACCATTACCCACCCTTCGTCGTATATTGTCTTTCAGGATAGTCTGAGTCTCGAAAATACTTCTCCATATAAAAGATGGATTACTTCCCAATTTTGCCTGAATAAAACTCGATTGAGGATAATATCTAGCCTTCATAATTCTCCCCTCCAAACTACCTTCCTCGTTAATAAGTCTCCAACCCTGTTTTGCCAACATGGCCAGATTGAACTCCCTGACCCTCCTACCCCCCCCCCCCACTTCTTTAGGCTTACATAATTTCTGCCAGCTCCTCCATCACAAGCCCTTTTGGTCCAACTTAGAACCTCTCCACCAGAAACTATTCATAAGTTTCTCAATCTCATCACATAGTTCCCTGGGCAGCAGAAAAACATCCATAGCATAATTTGGCATAACATAGACTTTTTGATAAATAAAAACTGATTTTAAAAAGTAATAATAAGACAAATTTAACAATATATTTTTTAAATTAATTCATTAATAAATAGACCAGGATCAAAGAAAAGAGAACGATGGCCTTTCCCTCATGTAGGATTTTGTTTTTAGCCGGCTATTCTAAGTTTTGTGCGGCTAGGCATTTTAGCCTTGCGCTTCGTGCAAGTTTTGTTCTTTGTGATCGCAAGTTCTGTTTTTCTACTGCTCAACAAGGTTAGAAGATATCATGAAGTCTATGTTAATCAATGCGACAATTTAGAGATTGGAGCCTTGGAGGGGAGGAAGAAGAATTGGTGTTCGAGGAAGGGATCGACGCCGACGACAGGGTGGGTAACAAAAGGGAGGTCTTTCTGGTAGTAGGCACAATCATCACCAACAGGATGGTGAAATTCCAGATTTCCAGAGACCTCATAAAGTATTATGGCAAGGAGGGACATCTGGAGCTTCTCGTGGTTCTGTGAAGCAGCTAAATTCAAATAATTTTATTCTTTTTTTAATTTTTTTCTTGGTTCAGACTGTTCTTGTTATTGTTTTTTGTTGTGTCAGACTATTGAGTTTGGTTTGGGTGATGAAAGGTCTATTTTGACTGCCTTTGGCTCAATTATGCCCATTACAGGATCGGCGAATCATATTGTTTTGGTGGATGGTGGTCAACCTGAATTCTGTTATATCAATATAAGTCACCTTCTTACAGAAAAAATCGTAATCAAAGTAGCACATGTGAATAATGTAAAATTCAATATGTTACACTTATTTAAGAACCAAAGAAGTATTTGATCATTCCGAAATTGTTTAAGTTTGTTGTAGCAAAGTCATTCTTGGCATTATTAAAATTATGTCATGTCTAAGTAAGATAGAATTTATAATTTTGTAAGTATGAACATTTGAATATATAATTTAAATTTTAACTATAAAATTAAAATCTTTAGTGTTGTTTAATATAACTAGAAACCCGGTAATTTTTATGAACCTTCTCTCTCTAGGGTTACCATTCGGTAACGTCTAGGTCCTTGTCCGCCGCCGATTTGCCAAGGCTGCTTCGGACGCCGCTGGTCAGCCGGAAGGAGAGCGGTGTTGGTTCGAGTTCTTTGGAGCTTCGGTATTTGGGATTTTGTTTCCCGTTTGTGGAGGTCTTGGCGGAGGACGGATCTTCTCTCGCAGGTTTCTTCGGCGTCTTCGATTGAGGGCGGCTTCGAGACTCGGGGGTGGCTGATTCGAGGTGGCTGGATCGAAGGAGCTTCGAAGTGCGGCAAGGTTCTGGCAGAAGGCTAAAGCAACAGTTTTGCATGGAAAGCTTAGTGGACAAGTACAATAAGATGGCGATTGGGGCAGAGGAAGAAGAAATGGATCTAGATGAAGCTGATGTTGAGGTCGTGGCGGATGAGCGGCGGGCGCGTCCCCCTCTTGAGCCACCCCCATGTAGTGCAAACAAATCTAGGGTTTGGAAGAAGATGAGTGAACTCTATTTTAATTCTGTTTTATTCAGTTTATATTTTTTTGTCGAATTACATGTTGTTTTGGACGTGTTTTTTTTGCTAGCAGAGAAATTGTTGAATTTAGGTTAGGTGATGAGAAGTCTGGTTTGCCAGTCATTGGCTCAATTAAGCTCATTACAGGATCAGCGGATGTTATTGCTACTACAGAGGTTATAGATTCTCAGTCTGGTTCGAGAGCGGACGGCAGACATAAGGCTTATTATCGTTTTGTTTACTTTTTTTCTTGATTGTATTATCAGCCATGTGACGAACGTTATTTTGATTTAATATATTAGTTGGATTTGATGATAAAAAATATATATAACTAAATCACACAGGCTATTATATAACTATAATATAATAGCATCCGGAAGTTTTGGTCCAGGATCGAAGTAATAAGCATTTGAGCTTAAATATTACAGTACGTAGTATACTTTAAATGTGTGTTTGTCCACATCTGCTTCATAGACCGTCTACTTAAGTGACATGATGGGATGCAATCCACATTCCCATTAAAGATGCTCTAAGGGCGTAGACAATGTCGTTTGCTCTAGGGTTCTTTCGTAATATGTTCCTCGGATCCGGAGCCTCTGACTTGCTTTAAAACAAGGCAGAGTCCCTGTCTCTTCCATACCGCTCGATCGGAAATTTGACGACCGAAGATCTTGGGCTCCACCCCTTCACTAATCTCAAGGTCCTCCTCTTGGCTTCCCTGCCGTTGGATGCCGCCTGCAAGGCACTCTACCTTATGGGCAGAGGATCCTGATCAATGTTCCTCTGCCTTTCTTCCTTCTTCCTTGGATGAATGGAGTTCATGGTTGTGAAGTTATTTGCTAAGACAGTTTTAATATAAATCATGATTGATATATTATGTGCCTCCTCGCAAAAAAAAAGTGCCTATATAGAAGGTGATTTAAGTAATATATGTGTATATTACATAGTTATTGAGAAACACAATTGAATAAAAAGATAATGTTGGTCAAATTTCGGCCGCCAAATTATAAAAAAAAAGGTTGTTGGACAGATTGGTAAAAAAATCATTTGAGACAAATTGGTAAAAAAAAAAGAAACCCAGTGACAAATTGGTCAATTTCTTTAGAGTGACAAACTTTTGATCCCCGACTTTAGAATTCCAGACATTTCATATTATAAGTATTGTGAAATTGACATTTGCAGTTCTTTTACTTTGATTTTGTCATGAAAAGAAGAGGTCTAAAAATGTCAACCACCATGTTTGATAATAGCGGTTGTCTGCTAGCTTATAGTCGCTTGAATCAACATATTGATAATAGTGGATTCCATTACCTTTTATAACTAACCGATTTCTTTAGCGTTTGAAATAAAGTATTAGTAAGATAACTATTTGCGATTAAATCTTAAGACGTAAAATAACCATTGACAATATGGATTTAAAAGTATATATATTTATCTTAACTTTATTTCTTTTATTTTTATTGAGTCTTTCAAAAGGTTTTAAAAATTATATTTTTTCAATAACCATGGAGTTGATTTAAAAAAAAACTAATAAATAGTCATATGGAGTTGTTTTTTTAAATGGAGTAGATTTAAAAAACTAATAAATAGTCATATTTAAAATATTAATACTAAAAATATATGAATTTATATGTGTGTACTCGCATCAATATACATATCTTAAATATGATAGTGTTATTAATTATTTAAAATAAACGTAAACATATTTTTTAAAAACTTTTTCCAAGACTTATTAAAAATAAAAAGAAATAAAATTTATTTAAATATATAAACTTTTAAATTCAGTTTTTAACGGTCATTTTGCGTTTGAAAAGCTAATTGCAAATTTTATGTTATTTACATGGTATTTCATAACGCTAATGAAAGCGGTTAGTTAAAAAAATTAATGGAATGTCGGAAATTTTAAGGTTGAGGATCAAGAGTTTATCACTCTAAAAAATGACCAATTTGTCGCCAGGTCGTCTTTTTTTACCAATTTGCCTCAATTGGTTATTTTTTTTTATCAATCTGTCCAACAACCCTCTTTTTCTCTTTTTTACTAATTTGGCCGTCAAATTTCTTAGCGAAGTACGATTGTTATTAATTTGCTCAGCAATGGAATTTTGATTAATTTTACAAGAAGTTAAATGTAGATGAATTATATGATATGCCATAGCTTCACGAGTTCAACCCATTTTTTTTTAATGAATGGTGAAATAAGATATACCTAGCATGTTCCATCGACATTCAACAATGGTTGGTTACAACCAAAGTTAGAAAACTTAAGGACGGCTCATTCTATAACTACATATTACACAAGTACACATTTATAACAGTCACCTTCAAATTTTGTCATAGTCACAATAATATAAAATTAAATATTAATGAGGTTATTGAGAAAATCTCATTATGATAACTTTAAATTATTATTTTTATTTAGAAAAAAATACTTACAAAAACATAAATTAATTATCAAAACATTTACCAGAAGTGCAACTACGGAGCTGCCAAAAAGTGTCACTATTATAGTGACCAAACTTCCTACTTTCAGTTAAAAGAGGAAATATGAAGGGAAGAACAAGTAAGAACTAATTCTGATGTTAATTCCTCAAACATGCAATCCTCTATTTCTTGACAGACAATACTGATTTCACTCTCCAATTTCAACCACTTTGTTCCAAGAACAGCCTTCTGGGGCAAGTCCTTATAGCACATTCCCTTTTCCTCCCCTTCATCAACTAGTAGCAGCCTCCAAAGTTGTTCCTCGACATTGTTCCTTCCCAATGTAAGACCATCATCATATCTTGCCTTAAGGGATTTTGCTTCAAGGTAGAAGATATTCTCAATGTAATAAGAATGCAGAAGCTCAGACATACTTGCATTTATACGGTCAAACAAAAGCCGCCTTCCCCACTTTGGCCAAGAGTTATTATGCTTCCCATATTTGTTCTCTAATCTCTCAAACACCAATGAGCTTATAGGGCATTCCAAAGAATCTATACCCTGCAGTTTGAGGATGGTAGGGGACTCATCTAAAACATCAACAAGGTAGGAGTAGTCCCTACTTCTACTACTACTTTCTTCTTCAATGAACGCTCCGAGATGATGTTGAGAAAAATCAGAAACAGATTCTTTCTTGGTATCTTCATCGCTAGACACATCTATTTCGGGTTCATCTGAGTATGTATCCCACAAAATGGTTTCTTTGTTGGTATCTTCGTTGCTCGACACATCTATTTCGGGTTCACCTGAATATGAATCCCACGAAATTGTTTCGTGCAGCTGAAGTTGAGGTTCCAAACCTGGCACAAGTAGTCATTGGTAGCAAACCAACAATTTAGATCAGGTCAATGTTTCACACATCAAAACAAAACTCTTCCTCAACATTGTTTCTTCCCAATGTAAGGCCAATAATATTGTTACTTATTCCAAATATTCTTTTTTTAATAGTGTGTATTTCTAAATTCATTATAATAACTATCATGGTTTCAAATACCAATTTTCAAAGTAATTATAAAATTATGCTAATTTAGTTATATTTATTTTCCTATTAAGAATACTTAAACAACTTTATCTAATAATCACAATCTGTAATGTATGCCAAATAGAGCTATATAAAACGACGGGCTTATATCAAACAATTACATTATTTAGTCAAGACCTTTTCAGCAACGGAAATTCTAACAGTTACCAGAAAGTTTTAAAAAATATCAGTTTAGCTAGTGGTGCCAATAATAGTATAAGACTTTTTTGGGAGGTGAGACCAAAGGTAAATTGGTATAGGAAAAGAGGCAAAAAATCAACAAGAAAGGTGCAAACACTTACTGTGGGAATCTGGCATAAGTCTGTCAAAACATTCAGTCCTAGGACCCTGAAAAGGAGGTTCAAGAACTGAAGTTGGACTGGTCTGATGAGCTTCCTTCAAAATCTTCAATGATTCTCTCTCAATTCTGGCATCTTTCATAGCAACTAACCTGTCCTGTTGGAATCCTTGAAACATATCCTGCATTTCAATTTTCAATCATAGGATAAGATGGTAATGAATATACTAAACGCATGAAAACATAAAAATTACAACAGTTTACACATGCACTAGCAGGATAATATGAACCAACAAATTTATCTTTTATATTCTTAAAAAATTATTTAGTAATGCCTCTAAAACACCAAATTAAAATTTGATACATTAGTGTGAGGTAAACCTAATTTCTTGAGAATATTTTATGTGCAATTAGACCCAATTTAGTATGACATGAAATCATCAATGTTTGATCAGATGGCCCGATCTGGACAAATGAAGTGAAGTATAACGCCTTATATCAGATATTTACAAGTTTGAGTCTAAAACATACTACGTATGTATTAGGTAAACATTAAGTAAAAAAAAAACTCTTATAATGAGCTAGACCTAATATAATACTAACTTAAACATTAAACTAAAGAAGCAATACCTGTCTAACTGCAGCTTTCTGGACAAAAGAGGGATCCAACCTTTTACTATTATTATTATTATCACTTGAATCATATAAAAGACAAGAATTTCTCTTAGAGAAAGCATGCATATCTATCTTTTCCAAATCCATTTCTCTTTCACTCCAATCAGTTTCAGGATAATCATCCATTTCACTATGGCCATTAAACTTGCTGAAATCCCTAACTGCACCTTGGCTTGGCCACAAACACCAGCTATACTGTGAAGCTTTAGACTTCTTCTTCTTCTTCTTCAAAGGCTTCTTCTTCCATCCATCTTTGCTACTTGTACCCAAAGGATATCCAGATTCTCTCTTCTTATCCCCATCAACACTATATGAAGGAGAAAACATTTCTTCAAGGGTAGAGTTTCCACTGATCACCTCAACTTCTTGAAAGCCTTCTGTCATCTTCCACATTTCAAAGATTTGAGCTTTGGCTTCTTTGGCTGCCTCCATGGGTTCCCAGAAACTCTGTCTTGGAGGTTCAAAATCACCATCAGGAATCTGCATATCATTAGGCTTCTCTAACTCCAAATGGGATCTTAGATTGCTCAAGTGATCCTTTTTCTTTGGCTTCCTCAGAAATCCTAACAGTCTATACTTATGTTGTTTCACATCTTCCTTTCTTTCCTGAGCTTCTTTTGGCCATCTGATTCTTGAAACTTGTTTGGCTTCAGGGTATATTTGCATCTTTCTGGACAGCAAATTGTGGCCTGACAAACAAGACAGGGACTAATCAGGATTAGTGGGGAAAATCACGATGTCCAACACCATAAAAGTGGCATAAAAACTGGAGAACTTAAGAAATAGTGCTGGGTTTCTCATAGTTCAGTTTCATAGAAATGGGCATATTAGTCAAACTCCTATGGACAGCTAAAAGGCAAGCAAAAGCAGATTAATGATAGTGAAAAGATAACATTGTCCCAAATCTTACTCGTATATGACTTTGACATCTTACTTTATGCAAATTCCATATTTGTTGTTAGCTCACTTTTTGGTTTATTCATCATTTTTTTTTTTCAAATATCAATTTTATTAATCAAAATACTGAATTGGTTAATTGAAAAAATGTGAAGCTGGAGGCAGTTTTTCCCTACGGAAAAATAAACTCGTAGCAGAGTCTTTCAAAGAAAGAAAAAATAGAACATTTTTTTGGTGATAGAAAAAATTTACGCAAATTTCAATGACATAAATAGCATACGGAGTAGTATTTACGCAAATTTATACCAAAAACTTCAACGTGATGATTAAGGCGTAAGAAACATTTGAATATTTTTTCCTTTTCCCCTGGCGAAGTCTTTGGTCTCCCGTTTTTTGGATGGGCACAATTGGTCACCTGCAAAGATTGAGCTAACCAAAACACTCCATATAAAAAAGTCTAAACTTTATTAAAAAAAAAAAAGTCTAAACCGAAGGGATTGTTTAGTTAAAATAGTTTAGAGTTGGTTTGCAAATGCTTTAAAAAAAGGATTTCTTAGCTTTTTGGTTTAAAAAACCACTTATTTTAGAAAAGAGAATATTACCAGAAATAGGACTAAAAAAGTTTTTGAAAATTTCAAAATAGGCCTTCCATGTTTTTATTCCCAAAATAAGACTAATTATTACCATGTTTTGGCAGTACCAGACTTCAAACATGGAAGTATTTTCCAAACTTTACAATAATTACTCTTATTTTGGGAACAAAAACATGACAATCCTATTTTAGAATTTGAAAACTTTTTTAGTCCTATTTCGGGAACTTTCGCTTTCCCTTATTTTACCAAACACTGTCAACTTTTATTTTTCTCGGCTTTCGTGTCAAAAATGTTTTTACTTTTTCTATTACACAAAAAACACTTATTTTATTAAACACTACCAACTTTTACTTTTCAAAATCACTTATTTCTCAAATACTACCAACTTTTATTTAATCACTTCTCCACATTTCATTAAAAAGGATATTTTTTTAAAACAGAAGTTGTTGCAAACAGACGTTATAAAGTACTAGTATATCCCAACTAAAACACAACCGATTCGGCAGGATTTTGGAGTGAATTTGGCGGGGTTGTGTAAAAACAATTTATCACGACTTTGCAACCTATTTGGCATAGAACCGTGTCAAAATCGTTGCTTTTATAATTATTTTAATTTAAGATTGTATACTTTATGAGTTTATGCAATATTGCAAAATCAATCTTATAATTAGGATGAGGTAAGAGTGAATTGAGTACATTAACTTGTACCAAGGGGAGTAAAGAGCATACTATATTGCATTTGATTTTTTTTAAGTACACAAATTCAAGTTTTATTGTTAATTGAATATACCCGTTAGATTAACACACTTAGGGGCGTAGACAGAGGGCGGCCATCCCTGACCATGGCCCAGCCCAAATTTTAAAAATGTCTAAATTTTTAGGGTAAAAAATTCCGTGTAAATTTTTTTCCAAAAATATTCTTTGTACCAGTCCGGCCCAGTGTCCTGGCTCCGCCCCTGACACTGATATGGCTGAGTTGGCTTACAGAATGCTAATAAATTGACTTCTTGAAGGTCAACGCTAGCCCCCAACCACTTAATCGACTTTCCCTTGGTCGATGTCAGTCCCTCGCAGGTCGACTTCTCCTTGGTCGATGCACCCCCGATGGCCGACACCCCCCGCAGGTCAACCTCCGAATGTCTATTTTCCCTTTCTGGTCAACTTCGTGAAGGTCGACGTCATAATCTTGGTCCATTAACTCTTCTTACTCAACATTCTGTTAGCCAATTCAGCTGTATTATCGTTTAAAACTAACAAGTGTACTCAATTGACACTAAAATCTCGAATTTCTGTACTTAAAAAGATCAAATGCATTATAATGTACTTTTTACTCCACCTCATACAAGTTGGTGTACTCAATTGACACTTTCCTCTAATTAGGATTAAGAGTGAAGACACGTTTTTTTCAAAACATTACACGATAATATGGTACGTAGTAAACAAACACGATAGTATCATAGTATGTAGTAAATGTAAATGATAGAGCTGTCAAGCGGGCCAACCCAACCCGACCTAACCCGTAACGGGTTATGCTTTATGTGGATTGGGTCAGGCCAAGCCGTTTAGAGATGAGTCGGAATTTCTATAACTCTAACCGAAACCACTTAACCCGTGGGTAAACGGGTTGGCCCGCGGGGCATTGTAAAAAAGTATATGAAAAAAGATTCTTTAATAATAATTACCCTGAAGTATATATTTATGTTACTAAGTAGTAATGAGGGAAATATAAGAAATCAAAATACTAAGAACCCAAGGTTCTTAAATTGAGATGAAATTTAAATCAAACCGTTCGAATATGTTAAAGCAAACATTCTTAAACTGAGATGAAATTGGAACGTATGACCTTTTTCTTGGGAGTGTCACAGGGATGCTATCAGACCACAAAGTACTGCACGGATTTAGTTTTGAGTTAAATTCTGTAATTATATTTATTTCGAATTGCAAGTGAAGATTCAGAGGATTTATATATTTAGATATTGAACCTCATATTCTCATATACTATTTGCCAGCACTTTTAAGTAAATACCTAAATTTATATCTTTTATGGTTTACTATTATACAATCACTCAGGGCCGTTTTTTAGGGGGTTCAATAGGTTATCCAGAACAGAGCCCCTAAATTTATGGGGCCCCTAAATTTTAAAGTCCTTTTAGTATTATATAGTACGGAGTAATATTATATATTAATACTATAGTACAATTTACTATAGATGCATGATTTTTTTCATTGATCCTTTTACTATTTTAGTTCTTTTTATTGAGTATATAATTGATTTGAGTATAAGTATTTGGATTGATATTTAAAAAAAAAAATATATTAATTTGGGGCCTTAATTTTACATTTAGAACCGGGGCCTCCAAATTCATTAGACGGCCCTGCAATCACTAATAGAATAATCGTTAAAGAAACTCGATCAAACAATTTACTTGGAATTGCATGTCAATCATTTTTTGGCATTTTCTTCTTCTTTATTTTTCTTTTTCTTTTCCAATCCAATCAAAAAGATGAAAGTCATACGGACGGTTAAAATTAAACACTTTTAAAGTACATCTATTACTCTTAGAGCAACTCCAATGGAGAGGTCCATTGTTGTTCCACCTTATTAAATGCACACCATGAAAACAATTATCTACTCCAATGCAAAGAGAAATGGACATGGTGAAGCTTGTGTAACAATTAACAAAATGGAACAAAGTCCAGCACAAGGTCCATAAATGGACCTTCGGTGCAACCTTCTGACAAGCAAGAGTGGGCCTATATCTATGTGATGCCATACATTTTGCTTTTCTCTTTAGTTTCCAATATTTGCTTTTTGTTTTGTATTTGACTTCATTGTTATGCATTGGAGGTCTCATTCAATGGACCATCCTTTTTGTGAATAGTGGACCAACTTTTCCAAATAGACCCAGATTAGTTTTTTGTCACTTCACTTGCAATGCACCAAGAACATTGGAGTTGCTCTTATTGGTCCGTGTGTTTTTTGAATAGCTTGATAATTTCTTTTTGATCGAAAATAAACAACTTATATTAAAATTGAAATACTCGAGATTACATTTAAAGCAATCCTAGTTACAATAACTAATATAGTTTCATTACAAAGCATAGAAGAGCATCTCCGATGAGAGGGTGGCATTGTAGTGATGTGGCATATGAGAGAGATAGAGATAGAATAAATATTTGAATGAAGTGGTGTGTAGGGAAAAATGAAAAAGAGGAGAGAGATAGAGATAAAAAATGGATCTAGGTGCATGACAAGGTCCATAAATGGACCTTACACGGGATTCAAGGAAGAAAAGTTGATGAAAAGTGAGCTAAAAGTAATATAAAAACATGAAAATGAAAATAAATTAGGAAATACGTGGGTCCTAGACATAAAAATTGTGAGATAAAAAAATGGGACACATGTGTGTAAGAGACCACACCCTTGCCCCTTCCTCTTTCCCCTTCCTCGAAAGGAATAGGCAAAATTGCAAGTCATGTCAAGGGTTCAAAAGATGAGCAACCGACTGCATTTTCTTGCTTTTAACGAGGCAGAAAGCATTGATTGAAGTCTTGCAATAGTTTTTTGTAAGTCTTGCAATAGGTAAACAACATGTCTACATGTACCAACAATGCCTACAAATAACCCAGCATAACAAATAAATAAATAAATAAAAATAGAGTTTGGTCACTTTTAGTCCCCCGACTATTATGTCACAAACACTTTTGGTACTCGACTTTGATTTTTTCTACTTTTAATTCTTCAATCAATGCTTTCTACTTTTGGCATCCTTCTTTGAAATTTTCCACATTTAGTTCACCAACTTTCATAAAAGTGAGTTTTTTTTGTCCTCCAACTATTATAATAGATACATTTTTAGTGATTCACTTATTGTGTCATATTCATAGTAGAAGAACTAGAAGTGACAATTTGATAGTAAATTGATACTAGTACTACTCAAGGGACAAAATATGGGAAACTTTGAAGACAAAATATGCAAAAGTGTCTCACACAATAGTCGAAAACTAAAAATGAAAGAATTGAAAATCGAGTATAAAAAATATAAGAATGAGTATACTACTACTACTAAGAGACTTATCAAGTCATCATCAATGGATCTAATCCAATTATCCATGATATGTATATTAATATAAGAATAAGGACACTTTTACTTCACGGGTTACTAAACGGTGCTTATCAAGACCCGCGTTAATAAGCGATGTTGTAAGGTCGTGTTTGCTTCAAAGAGTTTAAAACACCGTTTAACATTAAAATGTCCAAAACAACCCTATACATATATAGACACACAAACATTCATGAACACAAGTATGTAATATAATATACTCCCTAGCCGCTACCCCGC